GTAAAAGTCTGAAAACAATAATAAGGAACAGTTTGGTGTAAGAATGTCACCTTTGGAAAAAATGTTGCGCATCACTATATTGTACCAAGACCTCCATACGCAAGATGCACAGTCAATTTTAACAAAAATAAAATGGGTAGTAATTTTAAAGAAAGTTTCATAGAGGAGTGCGTAATGGTGTAGAAAAAAAAAAACTCTATGACTTTTTTAAAAAACAAAACGCTTAAAAATTAAGAAACAGTAAATAAATATAGTAAAACTTGGAAAAAAAGTCTTTGAATTATAATTGTTTCTAATTCATTATTGTGTGTTTAGTACTAAGTACTATTAAAGACAAAGGATAAAAAAATTTCTACTATTAATTAACTACTTTCTCAGATATGTGAGTCAGAATTTCCATAAATTTAAAAAAACACTTGAGCAATAGTAGCTGGTTTAATGGGGGGGGGGAGGTAGATTTTGAAACCACTAAGAAAAAAAATATCAACATTAAATGTTTCACAAAAGTGACAACAACAACAAAAAAAAAAGACAAAGAGGAAAAATTTTTTTTGTTTCCTTCAAAATAACAGTTAAACAGTTAAGTTACAGCCATAACAGTGTACTTTACCAGCCTTAAAACAATTTAACTTAAGCTTTTTAAAAAAATGCAGCTTTAACCGTTCAAAATTACTAATTACCCAAAATTAATTATAAATTATATACATTCTGAAAACAAACAGCTTTTAAATATAAAAAATTACTTCACAAAAGAACTGTTTATTTAAAAAAAAATTTTCTTGATGGATTAACAATAAAGAAAAATATTTGTCAGGGAGAAATTCATTTGCTAAATTCATCACAAAAACTAGAGAGATAAAAGTTTGAATAGAGTTCGTTTAATTATAAAAAACTTTTATATTAACTACTAAGGATTTTCTAAAGAGTTAACCACATCTAGATAACCGTGATTATCTTATCAATAAATAGATCATTCATAAATTATCAGAACGAAACACTTATCGAATGATCTAGAAAAATTCCCTCCCCTCCTTGAAACTGGCTATTGTTGCTATCATTTGATTTCGGTACAACTCAAGGTAACATCAATATTTCAACCTTGGTTGCTGTATTTACTGAAGAAAATATTTAAAACTTTCCGCTTAACAACAATTCATTTAAAATACAAACACCTTCTGAATTTCGGCAACAAATTGTACTGAAATAAAGACATTCATTTTAGCAGTTCACATTTTAAGCGAATAATCTAGCAGTACTACTACTCAAGCCAATGATTTCAGTGCCATATCGCACCATTTAAATTAGCCCCACTGTGAATAAAAATATTTCAGCAAAAATGTGCAAGAAAACATACATATCTAAAATATGATTTATTTTTATTTCTCGTAAAATCAGTCGTTTACTTACTTATTAAAATTAATGTTTTAAGGTAACAAAATTTAATATATAAAACAAATTAATATTTAAATATAATAAACTGATTTTTCTGTACTCACCTCATTTACTATGCTGTCAAGCTGGTTTATTGTAACGAAATATCAGTTATAACGAGGAAATTTTTTTTCCTAAAAATAGTTAGTTTAATTTTAAAAAGCTTGGTATAAAATTCTAAAATGACAAACTTAACTTGCATTGCATGAAGAATTTTCACAACCTCTTGAAAATCAAATCGTAAGTGAACTTTTTATTCTGGTTACAGCTTAAATAGCGTCTTTTAGAAAATGAACACAGCTAGAATGAAAATTGTTCTTTTTTCAAAGAACTTATTCAATAAATATTCGTAATTTAATGTCGTCAATTTGCCTAAAAAAAGCCTTATTTCAAAGTCAATTATTTTTACAAGGTTGTCATGGATCTTACAGATTCATAATGGTATTAAAATTACGTCGTTGAACTGTTATAGATTTTAAAAAATCACATCACCGAATACGAAGAGATCACACAAAAAGTTACATCTGTAATATACCCAGGCACCCCAACCCTGAAGTTCGAGGATTAGCTTCGTGATAATTGTACTTTGTGTTTAAAAATGTAAGCACGAAATTTCCTCGTTTAGTTGCTAAATTTGAGTTGGACATTAAAAAGGAGCATTTTTTGCTGTGTTCATTTTCTTAATCACGAATTTCAGGCTAAGTCCCTTTATTGCATGTTGCTATGAAGAAAATTAAATTGATTCAACGACGCCCGGTGGCGGAGTGCTAGCGCTTCACGGTCCCGTGCCACAGGTCCTGGGTTCGATCCTCGGGCCGGGCAAGGTTGACTCAGCTTTTCATCCCTTCAGTGGGACGATAAATGAGAACCAATCATGCTTGGGAACTAAACACTGGGGGTTTCGCGTTCGGCTGACCACCTGACCAGAACATCTGCTTCTGCACCCGAGCCCAAAGTCAGGCAAACTCAGATGGGCACAGTAGGCCTTGGCCCTCAATGGCTGTCGCGACACTGAGTTTAGTAGTAAATTGAATCAACTTCTGCTGCTCATGAGTTTATATTTTTCTTACCAAATGCTAGTTTTCAGAATTTCCAGCTGCCAAATTTTATATGGCGAATGATATCCAGAGAAAGGTAGAAAGTTATTCCACAAACAAAATTCAAATGCAATTTTAGCTCAGTGTAAAAAAAAGAAGAAAAAAACAATTAAAGATAGACTGCGATCAATTATTTTCGAATTCATTTTTGTGCAACACTAATTTTATTTTCGATAACTTTGAACAACTCTGGTTTAAAAAGCTAATTGCCTTGTCCCCATAGTTCTTTTTATAAACAAGTTAGTGTATACATTTAGAACTCTAGTAAAAATAACTGTTCTTCTTAAATAAGAAAGAATAAAAATGTTTTCCAATTCTGGTCAATCATTATTGGGGTCAATAAGAGCAAATGGAGGATCAAAATCATTTAAAACCACCTGATTTGAGAATTAAGCTGGAATGCGGTTCCCACCAAAAAGGGAATGCATTCAAGTCTAATAGAAAAATAAACCTGCTGTTGTCTATTTTAATCTATGTTTTGCTTTTCTCAACCTCAATAAAGAGTGATCATCATTAGGAAATATTTTTGTTTTTCTCATTTAAATATTGTTCAAAAGTATGTGGTGTTGTTGGTTGCTGAAGAGTTAGAACACTTCTTATTATTTTTATCCATCTTTTTGTATTTTTGTATATCACATATTATTTATATATATATCAGGTCTGGGGTTTTGAATGTCCTAAACTGACTAAAACTGTCTTAAAGTGTCAAAAAACTTGGACACGGGTAAAAGGTAAAAATTCTATATGTGTAACCATTGTACACTTAAAATAATTACATATATTAATAAATATTTAATAATTTTATACAATTTAACTTACGAAAGGAAAATAGTATAACATAATAGGAAAAGATTTAAAACTTTTGTAGCTCCACAAGTCATTTAATGACTAAAGTACTTTATCCTTAAAATATAAATAAATATGCTTTTAATACTGATAAAATATATTTTTGCATAAGGATAGATAATGCAATATTAAAAGTAATAATAAACTTTTTAATAAAACAAAATTTTCTCTTCATTTTGTTTCTTGTTCAAAAATTAACCTTTTATTTTTTTTATAGTTGTGACAGTTGACAAAGGGGTTTCAGACAGGACAATTTAAATTGTGGATTAATCAATTCTGTCCTAAACCTTACCAACTCTAAAATATATATATTTATATATATATAGCAGTAAATACAGCATAGAAACCATAAAATAAGATACCATATATAAGACAAGGGAACAAAAAAGCGAAAATCACAAAAAGGATTTTAAATAAGAATGGAAATTATTAAAATTCTTTAAAAAATCAAATAATTAAATTAGAAAAATTAATCACGAAAAGATATAATCTTCAGATAGATAAAAAAAACACTGATTTTTGAATATATAGTTGTGTGGATAAAAACTATTAGAAGTGTAACCTATTGGCTAAATTTAGATTTTGTGTTTCTATTTTATTACCACATTAAACACAAGAGAAAATCTACTACTACTAGGCTATAAAAAAAACTTAATTCAGTAAAAAAGGCATCTTATCCACATTAACGTTGCAAAAAGAACATAAAACATCAGTATCTTGGAGTGTAAAAAACATTCTTAAAGCTATGCATAATGTTAGACTTATGAATAGTACACAAATGCAAGTTAAATAATTGTATAATGCATACCAATTTGTCAAACTAATTTATTTGACTTTTAGGATCACAAAATTTAACATAACATAAAAGTTTATAAGAACCATGAAACTAAATTTTTTACTGTCATTATGAATTTAATTATTAAAAATAATTCATTGAATAAAATTATGCATGAGATAATAAGATTAGTATTAGTGCTCACAAATTATTTTAAATAAAAATTATTGTGAGATAAGGGGAAACAATGAAAAATTAATATTAAGGGGACTGATCACTCTATTGACTTAACTATGAAGGTTAGATCAGAATTGTATTACAATATCAAGTAATTGATTCCATCAGAAAAAGACTGTTTTCTTCAGTGAAATTACTTTTGTATAATCAGAATTTATTCTTCCCTAATTAAAACTAATTAGCATATTTTTAAGTGTACATCTTGTATTTCGATGATTGTATGTTAAATCAGTAATAAGATAAACCAAGAATGACTCTTAAATTGTTAGAATATCAAAAATGAGGCATTAGCATTTGTAACTGAAAATACAATTAACATGCAATTCAACAATAATAACTTTACTCTTTCAAATATTAATCACATCATATTTTATTTTACATTAAAATTATGAGCATAAATTCATTTTAGAAAAAAGTTTATATCAGCATTAAATTTGAATTTTAAAAGTCTTAATTTCGAATTGAAATAAATCATTCTAAATATCAAATAGTATAAAATTCTGTATTAAATCTGTCCTACTATTCTGCAATTAGATTGAATCTAATTTGATGCCTTTTCATTTGAATTTATTAAAATGTAGTGACATCAAAGTGTTTTAATTAATACATCACAATAAAACATGAACACATTTATTTATACAACTGCATATTTAAAATTAGGTAGTAATGAACAATATTAGATATTTGGCCATTCAATAATTTTTTCAAATTTTTCTCCAGTTTTAGTGTAAACAATTCTTTTTCGGCCAGGATATGCAGTGATGCCATCGAAAAAGGAGTCTGTGTCAGGGTTGAAAGTAGGAGTGTCAGACATAATATGCAAATTAGGAGGAAGCTTTTCATTGTCTCTCAGAAGTGCATCATAAGGCAAAGCTCCATCAACTGGCGTACTGAAGTATGTTAAGAGATCTTCTAATGTTTTCATCCTATGAAGCATTGAATTTGGAACATTTCTCTTGAACGTCTCTATAGATTTAGTAATTACCTATACAAAGAAATTGAATAAGCGTTTTTTAAATGACAATGTAGGAGCTGAAACTGAAAATATTATTGAAGAAGTTAAGTGTCTGATAGAAGACAATCATAGGAACAGAAGACAAAAAAGTAATGTAGAGTAATGAGACAATTTTAGACTTATTTAAAAATTGAGCTCTAGAATAGAATGGAACAAAGAAAATAAACTATTTTCTTTGATTTAATAACATTTTTAACATCTTTGATATAAAAAAAAAACATCTTAACAACATCTGTTCATCTTAACAAAAACTTGATCAAACTAGGTAAAAGTTGCACTTAAATATTACTAATAGCTTGAATCTTATCAACATCTTCTCATAAATTAATTTTCCTATAGTCTGTTTAAAATTTACAGCACCATTTCTTTCATAACTTAATTTAAATAATTAAAACACTTAATTTCAACTGCATTATGTGCAAATATTACCAAAGAGATTGCTTCCCTCTATAGGAAATTACTAAGAATCTTTTACATAATGGGAGTATAAATTAGTTCGGTGCATTTTCAAAAGATGGCTCCGGCTGTTATGAACGTTTCGTAGTGACAGCTGGTTTCTGTGATTTCAGAGAGGATAGACATCTGCCAATAATATTCAGTTTATATCACTTTGAGTTTCATACAAAAACCCTGTTTTCTACTTTGTTGAATATGTCAAATTTTGTGGTAACTAAGCAGCATTTGAGGAAGGTTTTATGTTTCTGCTTTAATTTTAAGAAGAGTGCAGCTGAAGCGCATCGAATGCTTGTAAAACTTTATGATATCAATGCTCCAACTGATAAATCAATGTAGGGAATGGTTTCGACGCTTCAAGAATGGTGAATGGTGTTGTATACTATGAGCTACTACAACCTGGCGATTCAAAAAATTGTAAAAAAATTATTTGGAAATGCCCAAATGGGATATTTCACCACACCCGCTGGACATTGCTCCTTCTGATTACTGGTTATTCCGATAGATGCAGCACGATTGGGCAGGTCACCGGTTCACTTTGTTCGCAGAAATCGAAAATTGGCTCTTAACTTGGATCACCTCAAAAGAAGAGACATTTTTTTGAGATGGAATTTGAAAATTGCCTGATAGGTGGGAAAAAGTAGTAGCCAGCAATGGACAATACTTTGATTAATCTTTTCATTCAATTCGTTCTAAAATAAATGCATTTTTGGCCACAAAAAAATGGACCGAACCAATTTGTACTCCCAATAGGATGTAACAAAAATTTGGAAACAATCAGATATCTCAAGAAATATACATCAAGTCGAAAAAGTGAAATTAAAAAACACATTCAATACTTTTAAAAGCTATGCAATTGTACCAAACAAACTATCGTTAAGTGCTGGCAACTTTGGAATCTTAAACCACTGACAGTTCTGATTTCCTAATTCTAATTATAAAAATTCTAATAAACATAAAAGAGAAAAATTCTACATAAATTGTTCACTTTTAAATGAAAACAATAAGTAAAAAATATAAAACAAATTAAAAATATAATTAAATTAAATTTGTCAAATACAGGGGTAGCAGCAAAGTTTTTTAAAATTTTAGGGTAATTTTAGGAACTTTTTTCAAAAAATTTTAGGGGTAATATATGATTTTGCTAGGATAAAAACAGATCACACGGTAGTTTATTACATAACAGAAGATTATTACAATTCATCCACACATATCATAAATAACTGCAAGTCATAAAATAAAGCTCTGAAATTTATTAAGTCAAGAATGAAATCTCTAAAGTGTAAAAATGAAATTTCAACTTTANTGTTAAGCCTAATTCCATGAAATTGCCGAAATATCAGCGCGTTGTTTAACATTGTTCTGTAGAGTATTTAAGTGACATATGTTTTATATATATTTCTATGGATACTTTATTTACTTAAGTTATTTCTTGTTTAAATGTATATTTTACACATTTTATTTTCATTATAGTGTCACTATCACTACTATCCGAATCTGTTTCAGAATCAATATCTGAAATATTTTGCATAATTTCCTCTATTTCCAGCTCAGTCAAAAATTTTCGACGCTTCGACATTTTAACGGTAAAAAGAAGAAAAAAAATCAAGCCTACAAGATCTAATTATCCACTGAAAACTAATCCGAAAATCGAAAGTAGCGAGAGAAAAAAAAAACTCCCTTGCTTACTGTAAATAAATATCACGTGCTAATTTAATGAGCCCTCATAAATTCTTATATTTTAGATTATAGCTTTTTTATTTATATTTAGCCTATAACTCTAATTTTTTAGGAACACCAACAAAATTTTATCAGATTTTTAGGAATTTTAGGGTTTGCACACAGTTTTAGGAATTTTATGAATTTTAGGGGGAATGCGACCCCTGCAAATATTTACAAGTCGAATACCTTATATTTCAATAGAAGATCATCTAAGGGATGATTTTTCCACTCTGCACTTAACTCAGAGCCAAATATTTTCTTACTAATGCTTAGAAGTTGTTCATCTACGTTAGGGGATGGTTGGTAGGCCTGTTGCTCTCTTGCAAAACTGAAATATAAAAATATTTATAAACGTCAAGTATTTTTTATACTATGTTGTTTATTGCCAGTTACAAGTTCTTAGTTAAAATAAATAAATAATGAAAATGAAAAGAATCTTGATTTATTAGAATTAAAAAACTTACTTTATAATAGTGCCAAAAAGGAACATTAATAATTTGTAAATTAGTTAAAAAAATTAATTAAATCTAATAATAGTACATGTAGTCCAGTATTTGAAATCATAAACAGTTTATTGTCTAAGACCACTAAAATGAGACTCAGATCATCAGAAAATAATACTTATTTATCAGGAGGACTAGCGATAAACTTGAACGAACTATAAAGAAGCTAAAAAAATGGTTAGCATTTATCCATATAAGTATCCTGAAAATGCAATTTTTTCATTAATTAAATTTGCACTGAATGATCTAATAATGATCAAACAATTTAGCTTAATGAAATAGTTATTAATAAAATCTAAATAAAAATATCAGATGAAGAATTTTTTCTTTTCCTTATTTATAATGCATTTTTTTATTTGGTTTTATATGCAGTAACTAATATTCAATATAGTTTGCATTTACCTTAAAACAAAGTAAAATTTCTATGTCAATTTAATTTTATAAAATTTTATGCAAACAGAAAAAATTTTAGGTTCATAAAAATTTCATTTAAAATTTAAGCTAACATGTCACATTGTATAAAAACTAATATGCCTTTGGTATTACTCAGCCAACTGAAAAAAGTAATTTATTTAAGAATGCTTAGGGTTTACATCAGTATGGAGACATGAAGAGAATTGTCGTCAAATAATCTACAAATATAGCGAAAATCATACGCATGGGCAACAAATTTGCTGCCTTGAAATATGCTTGGAATTGACAAAATAAAATTGAAAAAGTTTTTTGCATCAAATTCCATGCATTAAAAAAAATTTGTTGTACTAATTTTATTGTTCTATGCGTGGTATTCAAATGTAATAACTGAAAGTGTCTGGTACAAAATTTTGTTTAAATTAAATGTTGAAATTTCAAATTTACATGTTTGGTTATGCTTTGCATTCATGTACTGACAGTTTTATTGTTCATCAATGAAATAATATTTTTTGAATTGATTTTATTTAAAATTTTATAATTTTTAGATAATTAATTTTTAATATGATATTTTATTAGTTATTATTTTCACCATTTTTCTCATTTATATACTATTTATCTGGTCTCAGCCTTTTAATTTCTATGTTGAATCTATTTATCAATATTATTTGACTTTTTTTTACACTTAATTTTAATAAATACTAATCTTTAATCACTGCGGGGTAATAAACCAGATTAGTTTTAGGGTGTTATAGATAACAATAAATAATTTTTGATGCGCACCATAACATGAATTATGTAATTTCGAAGTCCGATTTTTTTTTCTTTTCAAGTTTGTCTACCATGTTAAATTTTTGGACCACTAAATAAATATCTAAGTGGTCCTATTGGACCACTAAATTTTTATTGTTGGGATGTACTCTAAGAATGTTAAACACTAAATAGTTAAGGAATTGCTAATGTAACAAATAAAAAAAGTACCAAATGTAATGCAACAAAAAACAACATGAAGATGAAAAATTGAAAAATACAATTTTAAAAAAAAGTCTCGCTATCAAAATAATATAGTTAAGACAGCTTATAAGAAAGGATTTCCATTTATTAAAATACCAAATAATTTTTATTGCAAACTTTACAAGTTATAGAAGAAAAGTAAAAGTTTTTTGCTTTTCTGATTTTTTTTTATTTAGCAATAATAAAAAAGCAAAAGAACATAACTCTCATCACTTTAATTTTCCTCGGAAATTCAAAAAATGTAATCAAAAACTTTGATAAGAGTCATTGTCTTCTAATTTAGTTAATGTTAAAAAAATTAAAAGAACACATTACATTTGAAGCAAGCTAATCCTCTCATGAAATCTGCCTAAACAACATTATACAGCAAAAAAAAAAAAAAAAATTTTTTTTTTGATTTTTCAAAAAGCATAAATTTCAATTTATGCTAAGAAAAAAAAAAAGAAAAGGAGAAAGAGAAAAGAAAGAAGAAAGAAAAGAAAAAAAAACCCAACTAGGATAGATTTTATATTAAACTAAACATGTCTCAGATTATTATGTTCAAAGCATCTAAAATATACAAATTTCTTTTCTAGAATAAGACAATGATTATGTTACATATAAAATGTGAAAAAAGATTACCATACATATACAAAAATAAAAAAAAAATATGTATTACACAAACACTATAAAACTTAAATGGAAAAATAATGATAATAAGAGATATTTCTTCTTAAAACAAAACTAATCTAAATATTAGCAAATATTGCACACAGAGTAGTTGATTAAATCAATTAAAGTTTTTTTTAAATATATAAAATTTATTTATAATTTTATATGCATTACATTATACAAGTAATTAATTTATGTATGCCATTAATTTATTATGTTATGTAATCAGCGAAATAGCAAATTTAAAAATATTTAATAACTGAAAATAAAAAATCATACACCTGCATATCAGAAATTTCATCAAAGGAAGAACAGAAAAACTGACATTTTTTAAAACTTTATTATAACTTATACTTTTTTCATAGTATAATTTCATTTCCATCNATGCCATTAATTTATTATGTTATGTAATCAGCGAAATAGCAAATTTAAAAATATTTAATAACTAAAAATAAAGATATTTAATAACTGAAAGAACATTAATAACTGAATATGAATTATGTAATCATACACCTGCATATCAGAAATTTCATCAAAGGAAGAACAGAAAAACTGACATTTTTTAAAACTTTATTATAACTTATACTTTTTTCATAGTATAATTTCATTTCCATCAATTGATCATTTAATTGCTTCGAGAAAAATTTCAGTTTTGATAGTCCAATACTAAACTGTTTCACAATTAATCCCATATATTTATTTCATTTTTAAAGGTTTTATATACGTCGTTCTAAAACCTAAAATTTAAACAAAGGAGCATTTACTTTTTGAGAAGTAAAACACAAATGGAAACATAAAAAATCTAGTTAACATTACATAAGGGTAGGAATAAAAATAATTCTTAAAGGGACAAAATATGCATTTTTAAGAGTTGAAGAAATAAATAAAAAATATTCTATCCATTGAATTTTCAAATATTTTTAAAGTTCATTTTTTAAAATATTTTATATATTTTTTAAATACAGTCTTTGGAATTTTTTTTTCAAATGAAAGTGATCAAATTCTCCATTTTGATTATGAATATAAGATAAATGTTTGATACTCAGAAAGGGATTAATTTGAAATGTTTTTAATGTATTCTTAAAATGTAAAAACTCAAATGAGAAACATAATTTTAATTGAATAAATATCAGTTTTCTAAGTCTTATGTTAAATTAGCATCATTTTTTGAAGCAAATAAGAAATTATATTCAAAAGAAAGAAATTACCAAACTTTTTTTTAATACAGATTTAAATCATTATAACTCTGATTACATTCTCATTTCAAACAAATTTTTTGAATACATTTATAGCTCAATAAGTTTTATTAACACTATAATGTCATTAAATATATAAACATAAAAACGATTTAAGAGTTATATAGACTCAAAATTATACATTACTGCAAGAGGAGTAAATTAGCTTTTCTTTAAGAAATGTAATTTATTAAACATGTATCCAGAGGAAAATTCTATTTAACTTTAAAGTCTTATTTGAAAATTATGATCTTCATTGCCGAACTCTGTAAATAAATAGCTAAAAGAAAATGGTAAACTTTCTCACCCTCTGTCTGAAATAGACTGAGCCATAGATTGAACCTCCTTCTTTGGTCCCAAGCCATAATAGTAAGGATCTACTAAGTCTTCAGGGCGTTTGTATCGCCTAGCATTCTTAATTTTTCGTGTCCCCTGAAAAAAATAAACTTAAAATGAAAGAGCAGGCCAGTACTTATACGTTTAATTCAATGGGTAATAAACATCAGCCAATGGAGACATTTTTTATTCTTATAGAAGACAGAGTTTTAAAGTTAACAGTACTACTAAACTACATTCTGTTCAGCAAGAATGTATAGTGGGAAGTAAACAGCAAGGTTTGCTGCTTATTGTTTATTTCTGTCCATTCCATGTGAATCGGTGATTCTTTTTGCATTGACTGATTGCTAGATTAACACTGTTTGTGATAACATTGGTGCTAGTCAGCTAAAAGAATTGCCAGTATCAGGCAGCTTTGTTAACTTTTGTTCTATCAGTTCTTGTTATACAGAGTATAGGGCTTACACTAAGCAGAGATGTTTAAAACCAGAAACTTTCTGCATATGCAGAAAATGATCTAAAACCTTTAATTCAGTGCATTGTTATTATTAAAAATTTCAGGATAAAATAATATTTAGGTAGCACAAAAACATGATTTATTAAATTAACACTTTCATTAAATTTTTATATCAAGTACTTCAAATGATATATGGAAAACAATAAACTTAATATTCTAACTAGCTATTCATTTCAATAGGTATTAGGTAGATATGTACTTTATTTACATTGCACTAGAACTGCACAATGAGCTATTGGCAACAGTCTGGGAAACACCCCTGAGGATGAGCCAAAGACATGCCATTGCAATTTTAATCGTCTGCGGACGGGATGGCTTCCCTGCTATGTTATGTTAGTCCGACAACCTGAGCACAAAGTCGAGCACTGTACAGTAGAACAGTTTTTTTCTTCAAAAAAAAATAATCAATAAAAAACACCGTGCACTCTTAGTCCCTATGCAGGCTGATCAAATCAAAGAGGTCTCCCACCCGCTTTCTGACAGTATTTACTAAACAAAGTGTGATCATTTACTAAACGCCTGTGATGCTTGACTTTGGTGTTCTACTGGGAAAAACGCATCTTTATGATCAGTCCACTGAGGGACTCATTGTAATAGAATGTTCATTATTCTAATCATAATTAGATCATATTCATAATTTATTATTTCAATGATTACAACTTATAAAAATATTTTTTTAAAAAATGCAAAACCTTTCAAGTTTTTTAATATAAAAAAAGGGATTCTCCATATTGTATTTTGGGTAGAAAAAAATTGAAGTTTTTAGTGCTTTTTAAAAGGAATCTGTGGATTTTAATTAGAGATGGCAGATTCTCAGGAAGATTTCCATATTAGTAGCGGTTTACACCAAATGATTGTGGTTGAGTGTAATGAAAACAACACTATACATTTTAGTTTAATAAGTACAGTATAATCAGTGAAAAAGGCATTATAACGTATTCTAAGTAATAACATACTCCAGACTTTAACTTCTGAGGTTAATGCAATATTGAGCAATAAAAATGCAATATTTTGAACCCTAGAAACAAAAGATATCTTTAAACAGAGAATATAAATTTCCCTATTCCATCAAAAGTAAAACTATCTACCATCAGTAACACATCATGGTATGCATAATCATCAAGATCTAGTATTAAAATATTAAAAAAAAAATTCTGAAAAGTCAATTATAGACTAGAATGCTGTGTTGCCCTCACTGTTTGAGAACTGAGGGTCAAAAGAGAGCATTTAAAGCCCTTAGCAATCCAAGAAATTAAAAATTATATTTTGCTATAAAATGTAATAAACTCTTTACTTTAAATACATATCATATTGATTCTACTATAGAGAAACTAGTCTAAACATAGCTTTTAAAATTAATATTTTAAATACTACTATAATTTTTGCTAGTTTTAAGATTTAACCAAAAAATATATATTTAATTGAAAATAAAAGAATTACTTTTTTTACTTGTTTTTTTTATATCATTCTTGACTTATTATTACTTTCCAGTTTCAAGGTTTACACGCGGTTAAAAATGTAAGTTTTTGGTCAAACTTTGTTGGTTTTAAAGGCATTATAATGTTTTTGTCGGCCAAATTTGTTTTTAGCTTAAATTATTAAGGATCTTAAGATTTTCACTGGTTGCTCCCCTCTCTAATCGAGAGAAAACTACAAGCGCCTTTTGATTTAATTGAATCAAAATATTTCTCTTAACAATATTTGAAGAGCTAATTTTAAAATTTATCTAAGCTCCAAAGAATCATAAAGACAGTTATTGAAAGAAAACTTACTTTTGTAGGAACAGTAACCGGAGTTCTGACCGAAATTTTATTGATATTGTGTGCAGCTGCATTCAAACAGCGATTAAATATGCTACTAAAATTTACAATATTCATAATAAAGCAGTTTATTTACTGTTGAATCAATTAATGGATTTTGTATTTTTCAAAGTGAAAATTTTAACTAAAAATTCATTTCAGCTTTTATTTACACATTTTTACTACACTGCGATTCATTGATTAAATGATATTCTTATATAAACTGTTTCCTCTTAAAAAGTCTGAAAAGTTCATTCTGTTTAAAACGTATAATCAGTTTACACTTGTAATATTCAAATTTAGTATATGTGAACTCTACCGACTTTAAAAATGCTGATGGATTAAGATCGCGTCAGTTTAAAACTGTACTTTAGAAGCATCATTGATGGTTGATATTGACTTGTTTATTTTAAGAATAAATCAATCATCATTAAAGTGAGGAGATTTTTGTGAAGAGAAGCCGGTGAATAATATTTTTAGGTACGTATTTAAGCCAAATCTAATAATTTTTATTGGGGTTATTTATTATAATCTAGAAAATTTCCCCCGAAATTATGAGTTTGTTTGTTTAAATACGAAAATCACGAAGAAAGATTTTAGCAGAGCTTAAAATGACCTAGATCTAATTTTAAAGTTATTAGGGCATTCTTCTTTTAGTTGAGATTGCTGAAATGGTGTCTTATTACTGTACTCATTACTATACACATTTTAATCACTACTTGCAGTAGAAATTATTAAACGGATTTATAGTTATATAGAAAAAAGGTATTCTTTAAATTTAATTAAAAACTATTTAAAGCAACTTAGATGAAGATATTTAAAAGTTATGATAATCCCCCCCTATTTGATCTATAAGGGTACCGATTTGTGACTGAATTCTTAGCTTTAAATTTGTAACTGTATATTTATGTATAGATGAATGATGAAATATATAAGGAAATATGCTGAATATAATTTAAAATATATTTTTTTTGTTTCAAATTAAAGAAGTTTTACACATAAAAATTGATATAAATGTTATTACAAAATTCTAAAACATGTTGAAAATTTTGAAAAAGAAAAAAAAAAGCTATTTTAACTCTGTGAGGAATGTATGTAAGACTGCTAATTTTAATCTGCCTTTCTCTATGCTGTATTACTATTTGAAAGCTAAAATTATTTCATGATACAAGGATCATGAAGCACAAATAGTTTGGAATAGTTATATAGCCATAGATGTTTGTCCCAACTACAATTGCCAAGATGCCAAAGAGTTTTAAACTTGCAAATTTAAAAAAAAAAAGTGGAATTTTTCACTAATATATTCACAGGGAGGAAAATCAGATAATTTAAAAATTTGAGTAGATAATACAGATTGTTTTATTTTATTTATTTACTTATTTATTTATTTTTTACGAAACTCATGTTTTGAATTGTTTTCAAACAAGGATTGTCTAGTTAATTGTTCAATTTCAAGCTTGTTTTTCAGTAATGAATTTAAGTAGCATTATTGTGGCTTAGATTTATTTCATAATCTATGAAATTAAGATCATTTCCGAATCATAAATCATTTGAAAATAAAAATTTGAAGACTGTTAGAAATAAGCTAAATATTTTATTTGATATATTTATTTATTTTTTAGAATCATTCCATTGAACCAGCTATTAGTTGAACCTTCAAAACAAAATGGTAACAAAAATTCTTTACATATTTCCAAAAATTTCTATATACTCAGTGCAGTTTTTTTGTATTCATATCTTAACTATTTTACTTATTTTCAAAATTGAATTACTAAGTTTGCAAAAGTTAAAGCTGATTAAAAAATAAAATTTATTTATAATTGTATTTTCAACTATTATAAGAAGTGAGCAGTTAATAAAATAAAAATTATCTCACTTTTAATTTCTTTTAATCTGCTGATCAGAATTTTGTGTCGTAATTGAAATTATTTATTACTTATTTAATGGTTTAAATGGTTCACTTTTAATATGGTAATTAATTACGATATTAACTTAAATTAAAGCATCAAAAGCGAAAACTTATTTTCTTACCTAGTTTTACATTAACAAAAAATTTATAGATTCAAACGATTGCTTTATTAATTGATTATTCATTTTTATTTATGAAATATCACTAATTTTTAATTTGCACCTTACTGTCATTTATTGTAGTTAAATTATTTTTCATAATTCTACAAATGAATGGTTTGGGTTGTTATGAGATTCATTTTGTGAAAATAATTCATTAATCAGAAATATGTAAATTTGCATTTAAAAAACCTAACATACATGCATTTAGTAATTATTTTTTTATAAATAGATCAAAAATTTTTTTTTATATCTCAATGTCAATTTCTATCTTAAAAAAAAAAATTATTATTATTTCTAAAGTGTGTCCTAAAGATATGCATCTGTAGATATGTGTAAAGAAAAATTTATATTGTATATTTTTTTATGTGTTTGATTTTTATGACCAATTTTTAGGCTATATTTGGTGTTCAGCTGGTTGTAACAATGATCATGGCGAGTATTTTGCAAAAAATTTCTGCTCATTTTTCCATTGCTAGATGGCTATTATCTCACAGGTAAGAATATAATATTGTTTGTAAAATTTGACCTTATAACCATTTTGCAAATTGCATATTGTTCATCAATATATGTTATATTTTATTGCTATTCAATATCGTAAATTTATTTCAACCACCATTAATGAGTCGGTTCAAGTAATTCATCAATCTAGTTCATATCTTATTAATATATTTTGATTTGATCTGCAATGGTGAATTGGTAAAAATAAATTCTACTAATTTATCAGACTTCTTTTTATGTTTTGTTCTCAGACAAAAACTTTAAAGTTACCATTGCCACAAATTTTTAAAATCTTTACCAGAAGATGCTTTAGAGTTTCACCCACTTTATTAAATTTCATAATTATAAAAACTCATGCTTCCAAGTTCAAAAGTCTTTCAGCAATTCGAGCATTTTTATATGTTTTCTTTATTTTTGTTATAATTATGAATTAAATCATGAATAGAAATGTTATGATCTTCCTTGATGCTAGAGACAGTGTCTCACAATTGTCGTTTTTCACACTCGGTGACATCTAGTAAAAAGTGGGCCAAGTAACCCAATTTTCCAATGGATCATGAGCTAACACAGCCCCCCAAAATTTCTTTTATTTAAGTTAATGTATGGAAACTGTTACCATGAATTTCACGGATCAAAATTGTTGAAGTGTTTAAAATTTCTTGCTCAATATTACTTTACAAATTAATTACTTTCCCTGATAAACTATGACTAAATGGGAATACTTCTACCTTTATCTTGTCAATATCAGAGCTGACAGCCCTGATTTTTTACAAAGCAATGTTCGTCTAATGAATTACTGTTCTTGCTACCTAAATATTTGTAAGAGACTGGTTACAGTAATCTCAATTGTTGTTTAAACTACTCATTTATGTTATAAAATAAATGAGTTTATGTTTGCACACATGCATGTAATATGTAATAATTTTTGATGAGTACCAGACTGTTATATCCAAAAGTATCATTTTGAGAAAATTGGTTTTTAAAATTTGAAACTTGAAGTTATAAAAAAAGTGTATTTAGTGATTGATTTTATGTATTTAAAGTAATTAATCATTACACTTATATTAAAATTAAATGTTGATTTTATCATTTAAATAAATTTTTCTTCATAACTGTTTGCATGATGCAATCTTAAAATATGAAATTTGTAATTTTCAGTTTTGAAAAATAAAGATTGTTATTAATTTTTTTAAATATATTTTATTAAATTTTAGCCATGAATTTAACTCATGAAATGATATTTTAAGTGTATAATAAGCTTAATGAAGTGTATTGTGTAGTGCTGCCTTACCCATATTCCCAGCCGCAAAAGGGATATTCAACACTGAATATAAAAAGCATATTATATATAAAATCACTTATGGAAGAACGTCACAGTAAATATTTGTTCCTACCAAAGTGGATATTTCTCTCTATTATCTACCATTTAAACTTTAAAAAGCTATGTGGTGTGACTTCAGTTCCAAATATAACTATTTATATTGCTAGTGCTATGGTAATTAGGATTAGTTTGTTTTTGAAAAATAAATCTTAACCCTCTGACTGCTCCATTTTTGGACCGAAGCCGCTTTAAAAATTTGCTTTACACTATGCGCTTTCCGCCCTTACGAAATCGCTTTACACTACGCGCTTTCAAATACAGCAATTTAAAGGACAACTAACGACATCTGTTGGTCAAAACGTAAATTAAACGTCTAATACCACTGAAACGGGGAATAAACGGGATGCGCTCATCAATAAAGGAAGAAAAACACATGCCCGCGGAAATCGCTGGATGAGCAGATTTTGCTACAATTTAGTTGCCCGTGGAAATCGCGGGATAATCAGTCAGAGGGTTAATAATGAAACACTTGTGGTACCTCTTTCTTTTTTTAAAAAAAAAGAAACTGTCCTTTTAAAAAGACACTAGGCATAAATGGGATATAATCTTCTACATAGGACTGCTTTTTATGCTAAGTATGTCTGCATGCTTCTTTGTATCTAGACATAGATGTAGCATGATGGATTGAGATTATATGTTAAATAGTGATATTTTGAAGATATTTGTTTGCTACACTTGGGGATAAATTTTGGGTTTTATGCCATTGAAGAGCTCTTCCCTATTATAAAGTTTAATATTTCATACAGACCTACATACACACATATATAATAGAACAGAACAGTGTTCCGAGAACACTATTTCTTTTGATATTAAACTACTGACCTCCTCAGTTTCTAATCTTTTTGAAAACTTAAATTTCTAGAATTGATTCAAAGGATAATCACTGTTCATACTTTATTTTAAAAATTATTTTTCAAGCTTTAAAATTTTATAGTAATTTCAATTTTGTCCTATAAGATAATACTTTTTATACATAAACTAAATGCCTCTTCGTTTAGTTGTTTTTATCAAATAAGCACTGTTTTTAATTCTTGTCATAGTTTGTAAGAATAATTAAAGCAAAATTGTTTTCTAGACTTATTCGTTATCTTCATCCAACTGATGAAGAATTGCTATCAGTTGCTGGCTTGCAAAGAAAACCAAATCTAGAGAAATCAAAGAAAAAAGGTAAAAATAGGTAAGTTGTCTCTAAACATACTTATTAATGTTGTGTATCTTTCATATTCTACAAGCAGTAAATATAAATGACAATGTGGTCAATACCATTTTATATTTCAACATCACAAATTCTAAATTTTGGCTGTTATCTAATCTATCTATAGAAATAAAAATAAAAAGATTTTGTGTAAATGCCTCTTGTAATTGCAGGACTATTTGTATTAACACTCTGAAATTTGGATAAGGGAAGTAAGCTATGATCCTAATGCTTTTTAAATGTCTCAAGTAGTTTCTACAAACATCAATATTCGAAACAGATAAAATAGAATTGTTTCCTTTTGTGTTGAATTATTTCTTTCAGTTTGGTACATAATTTTGTAGTATTGGTTTATGCTGATTGATTGATTTTTAAGTTTTCTTTAACTTGTTCAAAGAACGGGTATTCTGTTAGTAATAATTAGAAGAAAAGTTTGAATGTGAGGAAAATATGCCTTAATAAGCTCTTATATGTATAATAAATAATATATGTAATAAATTTTATAATGCCAAAATTAGTTTGTAATGTGGTCCTAAAACTTGAACTACAGTGTTAGGGCTGATTTTAGCTTCCGATCCCTCCCCCCCAAGTGAATTTTTTTTAATGAGATTGCGGGTTGTAGAGTTTGAGGGTTGTGTAGAATTAAAATTCTTCACAATGGATTATAATTTTGTATTGTTACAAATCAAACCGTAAACAATTCTGTTTTATGTATAATTTATTGATGTTTTGCAGCAAACATACAACTCTATTTAATCAAAATTGAATTTCACTGGTGGTCTATTGCACTTTAAATAAACAATCATTTTTCGAATCATCATGTCAGGGAAGCTCACTCAAAATAAACATGGGGTATCTATTTGAAACCATGTGCTAATTTTGTTTCAAGTTATGCTTTTAAAACCTGATTCTGTAAACCTAAATATTATAAAACCAACTTTAATGGAAATAGAAAAATTAAGTTATTTACTAAAATGCAAACTCATCAGATTAACTGCTTAATTGTGGGGAATTATGACTCTCATTAGTTGTCTGCTATTATTAATAATTAATAGCGTAATTGTTTGTGCCAAATAATGCTAAGTATAGTTAATATTTATTTAGATGAACTGAACTTTTAGGAACATGTTTTGTTTAATCTAAAACATAAAATCACTTAGAAGTGCAGCAAATAATATTAAAAGGAGCTTGATATTATTTTAACCTAATTTAATTATTTTTAGTATAAAGCTTTCTGCTTTGTTCCTGATTGTACAGTGTTATTTAATATCGATTTATTAATTACTGACTTTTTCTCCCCATGTAAAGAGTGGTATATAAAGATCTTGCAAAAATAAAATTTTAAACATTATTTTATTCCTATAAAGTATCAGACTGTTTATATATTTTTTTTACAGACGAGATGATTCTGGTGATTCAGAATTCATGGTACCTAAGAATCTAGAGCTTCAGTTGGATGTGGCAGCAGTTCAGCCAGTTGACATGATTCAACTCCATTATTATTCAGAATACCAATGGCTGTTGGATTTTGCACTGTGTACAATTATTGTCTATACTGTTACAGAAATATACTATTATCTTATACCTGCTAAAGATGAAGTTAACCTCAGTATATTATGGTGCATATTGGTCATAGGTTTTGCTGTGTATCCTTTGTAGGAAAAAAATAGATATTTCTCTATATATTAAGTGATTGTAAATTATTTTGCGAAATCACTGTTTTTAGTTTTGTTGGTTATTATTATTTTATCTTTTAAATAAAGATGTCTTCATTTAAGGATAGTCTTTTTTCTAGTAATTTACTAGGAGTATTTTATCGATACGGTATATTTAGCATTATGTTCTTTGTATTTCATATTCATAAAAGAATTGTTGTTACATAATTTATTTTTCTTCAATTTTTACAGCTATATATGAATTTTAGCATAGCATGAATCAATTTTCATTGTTATTTTTAAGTGATTATTTTGTCTATTTTAAATTAAAAATCTTAAAATTGGTAAAGTTATTTGATTAAAGTAAATTTCCTCTCCTTTCTGTTAATTTTTTTTTTTTTTTGTACTATTTTATGAAAAATTTGGCTGCTCTCCCTGGAAAAGTCAATACTAATCTAACATTAGCTAATATGAAGTAAACAATACTATTATTTGATCCAATTTGTCAATTCAAAAATTTGATTCATGTCTCTTTATCATTTATTTTAAAAATAAATGAAATTAACATTTCAGTTAATACAGAATCAATGTGGTTAGTTGAGGAACCACATATTAATTTATAGAATATTTAGCTGCAATATTCACTATAATATTATCCTCAAAGTTATTGAAACTTTTATTGAAATTATTTTATTAAAGTTGTATTTGAGCAAATTTAAATGAAAAATTTTGTCTTCAAATTGAAGGAACATTTTCTAATCAATTTATTTTAAAATAAATTTCTATTTTCTTATTCTTTATAATAATTGTATCCGATTAGCGATTTAATTAATTAAAATTTAATGATGGTCATATATATTATTTTATCTAGAGATTAATTTGCAACAAATCTTCATCAGTTAAAAAGGTTACGTAAATAATAATTTTCTCAAGAATGCTTTTATTAAGTATATATTCATAAATTGGTATTTTTATTTAAATGTTATACTATACCCAACTTATTTAAGCAGTAACTACTAGTTATTGATAAAGAAAAAAAATTACAATGCCACATATGATTTTTTTTTTTTTTTTTTTAACCTTTCTGAATTTATTTAAATGATTCTTCGAAAATCTCCTGAATTTCAAGCTTGGCAGGTTAACACATTTTTATATTTAAAGTTATTCAAATAATGTATCTAGTAAAATTTAAGTAAATAATAGCTGTTAAATGTTGCAAAAGTAATCTAATATAAATGTTTTTCAAAAGCAACAGTATAATAATAAATAGTTATTATTTTAAAAATAATTTGCTGATATAGTAAATGTGAGCAACTGTTTTAGAACTTGTTAGGAAATAGATTTTTAAGCCTTTCATTGTTAATTTTTTAACTGTTAATCAGCCCAGATTAAATCCTTCTGTTCTTTTCCTTAATACAAAGCAGTTTTAAGTACAAAGATTATTATAAGTTTTTTTGGTGGAAATTTTATCATTAAAGAAGTTGGAATCAAGAATCTATTTTGACTTAAAAACTTGTTAAATAATTTTCCTTAATGTGCTTGTAGTAAAATATTGCTGTCACTCACAGCATTATATTTTAGAGGAGAAGAGGCTGTAGGTGAGCGGTCCTTGTGTTTGACTGCAGGTTTTCTTTTCTTTTTCATTGCAATGGTAGTTCTCATTGCAGATGAAAATTTCTTAGAGTTTGGATTAGAACCTGGTAAGAAAGAACCTCAAGATTATTTTAATATGACTTTTTAATCATCAGAAATTATTATCATGTATTTACTTAATTTTTGTTAATGGATCTTGCTGTGTGCCCCACAAAAGCAGGGCTAGTGATTTTCTTGATTTTTTTAAAAATAAATCGGATTCATCTGATTTAAATATGATTTTTTTAATAATTTTTAATTATTAATTTTTTTTAATTTAAATAATTTTTAAATTTAATGGTCATTTGTGAAATTTTATTTTACAATTAGTTGAATTTAAATAATTATAATTAAAATATGAAGTTAAATCATAACACATTTGAAATTATATTGCTACGTTAAATACTGCTTTTTAGTTATACATAATAAGTGCAAGAATTAAAATTATTGAAAATGGAATAATGTCGTTATTAACAACAGCAGTTAAAACTGACTAAAATAAAAATAAAATATCACAAAATTAATTTCAGATTTATTTATTTATTTTGCTAATAAATTTTTGAAATAATAAAATTAAATGTGATGCGTTATACCTTAAAGGCAGGTTGACAAAATATTACAATATAGAATAACTAATCTTTCCAATTTAATGAATAATAATTATAAAACTATTATACAAAGAGGAAATCTGAATTTATATTTAAACAGCTTTTTTTTAAATACTATATGGAGTAATTTCCTTTCAAAATTGTAAGTTCTTGATTCAAAAATATATTTTACCGTATGCCCTAAATTGGGGCAGGTCGGGGAAAATATTTCATTCAAAAATATATTTGCAGTTTTAAATAAAATTCAGTTTTGAAGTTAGTGTTTTAAACTTAAAAATTAGTAGAATTTTCATTACTATCATGATTTTTGCAAAAAATTCCATATTACTCTTAACAAAAGTATAAGAAAATTGCATTAAATTTTCAGTTTGTTCTGAATTTGCATTCTGAGCAATTAGAAAGAATTACAAGATTCTTTTCAAATGCTGTTTCAAAAGTGCTATAATTTATTACAAACCAAATAGTGATTTAATTTTTCTAATTACAATTTATCAATCCAACAATATATCAACAATTAATTTAAACTTTGTAAATTTTTTAAAGTGATAATTTCTCTTTAAAAAACATCATTTGATTTAAATCAATGATTTACTTTTTAAAAATAAAATCGGTTAATTTAAATCAAAGAACCCTGCATAAAAGACTGATAATTTAAAAAAAGTATAAATAAATAAAACAGATTAAAACAGAAAAGTAATAAAACAGATAGAATTGTATGGTTTGACCGAGTCTGATAAGGAATATTCTCTCTAAGTTATAAAACTAGTTACAAAGGTTATCTGATGGCATTTCTTGGGTGAAAAATTGTAAAACAATGTTTTCAAAGTAGCCAAATCTTGCATCAATAATGTAATTCAAGGACTGCCCTAACCAATTTTTCAATTGGTATGGTCTGACAAGTAAAAATATTCATTGTTTTATAGCTTTTTCAGTCTCGCACTGTCATTTGTTGATGGACTCTGCTAGTAATTTTTAAACTTTTTGAGAATAAGTTTTCTTAGTAGGTTTCAGTAAACCACACATTGGTTACACATTTTTGAGACAGAATACAGGGTGACCGTACTTAAATTCGAGTTTTTTAAAGCCTGATAGAGATAAAACTACGGAATCAAATTTTCTGTCAATAATATTTAGACAGTAGGAATTAGATATAACATTCTCATATTTGCCGGAACCAAAAAAAAAAACATCATAACAATTAGAAGATTAAAATTAAAGTTTTATTTTCTGGAAAAGGATACAGTCACAAAACTGAGTGACTAACTTAAAATAAATTAAAATACAAAAAAAGTGCACAACACACTGAGTAGTAGTAGTAATGCTTTGTGATTTTACAGATATATATATGCTGGGAAAAAGCGCGCGATAACAAAAACAACATCTGTATGTTGCAGTCGGTTACAGCTAATTTCCGAGAGCAGAAGAAATATCTGGGTGTGCTCGATGACAGGTTTCAGGTTCGGTATTCCCTTCGATCTAACAGTCTCTACAAGACCATGGGGAAATTTTTTTTTAAAAAAAGCTTCATTTTTGCCACCAGAGACGAAATCAAAAATGGCACCGTAAAGCTATTTTTGAATTAAAATCAATGCAACAAGTTTGGAAAATTAAGTTTTACATGCATTTTGGCATTACAGTTACATTAAATTAGTTTATTTTTCCTTTTTATAATATATTTTAGTTATTATTTCTACATCAGCAGTTGTATGTTGTTTGCCAATTTTTGCATAGAAACAAGGCTATTTAGAGTTTGTCTTTCAATAAATAAGTGAATGCATGCTCTTCACATGTATATGATGAGATTTTTGGTGTTATAACAGAAATTTCGAACAACCTGGTTTCTAAGAAAATCTGTAAATAAATTACTATCTGCAAAGGGGAGATATAATTACTGGAGTATTATAAAGTGCGGAGTATGTCAGTGTGCAATGCAATATGAATGTAAACGTGATATCAATATAAAAATGCATGTAAAATTTTCCCCCTAAAATGGGCCTTATAGCATAATTTTATTTTCTGGTGGTAAAATATTGAACTATTCTTTTTTCCATTAAAATTCAAATCCCTGTGTTCAAAATAGTGCCAACAGTAAATGTGGTCAAGTTTGGTGCGATAGTTTTCTCATTATTGGACTTTAAATACCTCTACATCAGTTATGGTTACCTTGTATATATGCTCATTTTTATTTGTAATTATTAAATTTTTTAATTATTCAACTGAATTCACGATACAAAATGGATAAGAATGGGAATTGAATGCTGTTTTTCAAAGTTTAGTGTACAATAAATATTTGTTTAGTCAAATTTATGTTTTACAAACTTAAAGGGAGATACAAAAATATTCATGATATAGAAATTTCATATTTGAAAGTTAAATAATTTTAACATTTTTGTCAAAATCATATACGTATTGTTCTTTGACAATTGATATATCAATTAATTACTTCAAAAGCAGTAAAACTATAAGATGAATTTATTTATCATGAAATTTCATCACTCAATCATTTTCTGAAAATCCGATATCTAAATCTTTCCCATTTTTCTGTGATCTTAATGTTCAATTTAATGAGAAGGGCCTGTATTTGCATTAAGTTTAGTAATGTAAGCAATTTATTGCCTGAATTTCAGTTATTTCATTCTATTTATATTGTAATAATTACTTTTATAGCATATGCAAGTTTTAATTCAAGTGCCCATACATTTTTGAAGGATCAAGGGTTGGATTCAAGGTACATTACCAAGATTTGAATTTTCATGTTTTACTAAAGTATACTATCGTTTCATTAACTTTATCCTGTTAAAATTTCAATTAATTTTCTTAACTAATTATGTTAAACATTAAACTTTATTTGTTTGAAAAATTGATCACTATTATCTGATTTGCCAAAATACCTCAAAAAATTGTTTTGATCATCTAACAAAAATACTTTGTTGCTTTTAAAATAATTTCTTTTTTTTTTTAAATAATTTCTTTTCTATCTTTGATATATCATTTTTTATATTTCTAAAGATTAAAATGGTTTCAAAATTCTGCAACTTTTTTATATCAAATATTAGGCATTGTCATAATAAAAATTGACCACCAGTTCTTAAAAATTTAATAAGAAAAAGACATTACATGTATTTCTTATGTTCACAGTATTTTTTTCTTGCTGTTGGGAAACAAATTAAAAAGCAAAAACTTCACTGTGTAGCAATATAAAGGCTTGGTCATAAGTTCAGAAAAGATTTTAAAAATTTGTGAATGGACAGTTAACAGTGTTTCACGTAATTACAGGGTATATGGACACCTGGAAAGTCATGAATTTTGGTATTGAACAAAATTTGTCTTGAAATGTCATGATTTTAACTATTTAAAAAAAAAAAAACCATGGAAAGTCATGGATTTAAGTCGCTAATCTAATTTTTAAAATGGAATTACCCCCCTTCCCCCACCATTTACACGGTGTTCTGTATATATCAGAATTTGTAACAAAATCCACACTCCCAGGCATACAGGGTAACAAAAAAATGTAGGGATCATTTTTGAATGTTTATATTTCCAAAATTTATTACATAAACTCAGCGATGCTTCTCAATATGTCGACCTCCGGCATAATAGATTTNTTTTTTTTATTAATTGTATTTTAAGTGAGCGTGTGCCTAATAGTTTGTGTAATCCATATTGATATTTCATATAGTTATGTTATTAGGAACAATTAAGTGCACATGGATGCAAACATGAAAATTCCTTTTAAATAATTAATCTATCATTAAAATTCTTAGTTATTGTGTTTTACTAATTTTATATGTAAATTAAGTTTTTTTCTATGGTGCTATATTATATTTTTAATTTATGTTTGATATTAATTTTAAATAGTGGTCCTGCATCAAAGCTTATGTTCAAGTTAGGCTTGGCATTATGGTGTGGAATGTTTGGCTCATTTTTCACTTTTCCTGGTTTACGTTTTGCAAGAATGCATAAAGATGCATTGAAATACTGTGCAGAGAGACCATTTTTAAAGTAAGGATTCTGCAAGTTTATAATGTTTTACTTAATTTAAAAACTCTTCATTTCTTTTAATTTTTACTTTTATATGTTCTTTGTTAATCGAAAGAAATTTTTCATTTCTTAGTATATAAGTGTTATAGCAACTGACATATGATTCTAATTTTAGGTCATAAAAATCTTTTCCTTTCCTCAATGAGAGTTCTCCTTGGAGAAGGTTTTTATATCTTTATGAACAATATATTTAGATATTAATGGCTCTTAGTAAAATAGGACTAATTACAGGTTATCCGCGCATCTGGAAAGACATGAAAAATCATGGAAAGTCATGAATTTCAGTATTGAACAAAATTTGTCATGAATTTAACTATTTTTTAAAAAAAATCATGGAAAGTCATGGATTTAGTTCGCCCAAAAATTTTATTTTTAAAATGGAATCCCTCCCCAATTTCATGGTGTTCCGAATATCTGAATTTGTAACAAAATCCTCACTCAGAGTCATATTTTATGAAAATATAAAAAGTTTTTATCGTTTTCTTTAAAAATTATGCTGTTCTTTCGAAAAATGAAAGAAAAAACATAATTTCTAGAGCGAAGTATCTTTTAAACTTATGTGATTTTAGAATTATTATTATTCATCTTTTTTTTTATTTTATCAATTTAAAATTCTAGCTGAAGTAAGTCAGTCATTGGCAAATTTTTTTAATTCTGAAATGAGAACAGAAAAATCAGTAGTATTTCTCTCCTTTCTGATGAACAAGAAAAGTATCTTTAGAATATAATTCAGCAGAAAAAAAAAATCATTTGCTCAGCTATTATTTTTTCAGCTCTTTCATTGCTTCAACTATTTCTTTACTCTGTTTTTTAAATTTAAAATCAATAAATATGAAGATGCAGAATATAACAGTTTTGGTTATACCTATCATTTTAATTAATGTTATTATAATGCTTTTTAAATTTATTATTCTGTTTTTGTCAGAGAAAATAGTAACTTCGCTAAGGCATGAAAAGTTCTTGGAATTAGACGTGGAAAGTCACCAATTTGAAAATCTAAGATGTAGCAGATACCCTGTAATTAGTTACCCAGGCTACTTAAGACACATCTTGATAGCCTAAAATAGATTCTCTTATTAATTTTGAGACATAGAAAATTGTTCTCTCACAAAAAGCTAAAAATATTCAATATTAGAATTCAAAGACTATTTTCAAAAATAATAGACAGTCATTCTTGGAAGTAAGCAGTCATTGAAAAATAATTTAAGTTCCATGGAGTCCAAATGAGGTCATGTTATTGAAGAAATCAAGATCTCTAAATTTCACATTTTCGATGACACTTGATAACATAAATAAATCTTCCAACCTATTCTCTTTCAGAATCCCTAGATAAGAAGCAGAACACACCGAAAATGTGCGGATTTGTTTCATGATGTAATTCTTTGTTAAACTGTGGCTCTAATGGCCAACCTCTAACACCTTCTTTGGGAAAACTTTCCATTAAAGAATATTTACTAAGATGCTGAATTAAAATTAGAAGAAACCAATATAGATAGATAAATAGACAGATTTAAATAAATGCTCAAAAACTAACAATTAACAACTATAATTCTAAAAAACATTACAGCAGACACTTTACAGCCTCTTACGTTAGGTGCAAATAGGAGTCATCTCCTATAATATTTAAAATGAACATCCAACGAGTACTACGCATTTCAGTTTAACTTGCTACAGCAGTGCCACCACAACTCATAACTGGCTAACTATATGAATTCCCCTGATCTTCTCCGAGTGAAGAAATTTATTTTATATGCCTTTATGCTTTGTTTAAAGATGTTATTTGTTTTCATATCAAATTAATTTTTCTTCTAAATTGTTTATTTTATTCAATGTTTTTGTTTGTAATCAATAAATGCTTACATGAGCTTAATTTTCTTTGTAAAACAAGCATGTGTACGTTTATTTCAGGATGCTTCTTCATGTGAGTTTTATTTCACCTTTACTTATTGTTCTAATGTGGGTAAGACCAGTGGCACGTCACTACTTTACTGAACGATCTTGGCCCGGTATTCCCGTTTTGTAAGTGATTTATGTTGGTCACAATATTTTTATTATTTCTATTGTATAGACTATTTCCATTAAATATGATTTATCTTTTTTACCAATTATATTTCATAATAAAAAGTAAAAATAAAAGAAAAACACTAAATTAAAATAAATAAAAGCAGCCACTAATTGCAAATTTATGGTTAAGTTATACATGTTGCCTTCAAAAGATATGATTGCATCTAAATCAACCTAAATATTGAAATTTAAAATTCATGTAGATTACAATAAGTGTTGAAATTGATCCAAAAAGACAATAGGTGCATATTTAAAAGCTTAACAGAACAACAATTTTGTTTTTATTGTTAGAGTTTTTTAAAACCTTTAAAAAAATCATTGATTAACAGCCATGGAGAATAGGGATCAATGCCATAAACTTTCTGTAAAAAAAAAACTGAAAACTTGCATTTTTTTTACTTCAGGCTACCAATAATATCAATTAAATTATGTACAATCAGCAATTTAAATCCCAGTTTTTATCAATTGATTGAAAAAATCATTAAAGAATAAAAAAGCAAAGATTAGAAACAAATCTTATTTTTTAAGAGATATTGAGGTGCAAGTTCTCAGATTGCAGAACCAAGAGGGGGATAGAGGGAACTTTAGCTCCTCACATCGTATGGATGGATATAATTTTATATTAAGAAAATTTATACTTGGTATTATACTTTATGAGTAGTGAATTCGTGGAAGATTCTCAAATTTTAACAGGAAAAATTTACAATTAAAAGCTTTGTCTAAAGTCCCATTATTTTTATCGACACAATGAATCCTCTCTCTTGACATTTTTGTTGTCATTTGATGAATTTTGAAGCGCTACAACGTTTTTATTCATACTGGCTACTAATTAAAAATAAAGAAAAAAGGTAAATTCAACCACTGTAAAAGTAATTGTTTCAAACCACTGCAAAAAGAATTGTACAAATAGCAGACGTTAGATGCCCTTTAAGTATTTACTATTAGAATGTTGTGTACATTATATTTATTATATATTATTTATTTTTTTTATATTTGTATATATATTACTTATCATTACATAGTTAGGAGTTTAAATGTTACTATAATTCTATGAATTTAGTAAAATATTTTATTGTATATTAAAATTAAAGTTTCTTTGGAGGCAACTTTTATAATCTTTAACTGGTTTGGCGCAGAAATGTTATAGAAAAAGTAACTAAATATTGTCCATTGTGAAAAGTGTGGTGATTATTAATTATATAACTTTAAATATGCATAAACTAGGCTTCCTGAAAAATATAATAAAATGTATCATCACCGTGCTTTTTAGAAAAAGTTAATAATTATTTAACAGATAAATCTTCAATTTTAAAAATACCCTATTTAAATAAAATTTTTAAAAAAATTATTATTTTTCTTGCACTATGTTTTGTTTTCCTTGTTTTATATATTTTCTAAAATTCTAACTAGTTTTTATGCATAATAATAATGTACTTAATGTGTCAGTGACAAATATAATTGCATGCAAATTTTTATTTATTTATTATTAATAATCTCGAAATTTAAATGATCAAATATCCTTTCTCTTTTTTCAGCAAAATTTTTTTTAGTTATTATGATATATGTTTTGTAAATTAGTAATTTATCTATCAGTTTTAATTTTTATGCTATAATATAAAATTTATTTGTCTAGAATGACATCTGATACCTTCGATACAACACGCCTGCTACTGATTGTGGGTATTGTAGCTGTGAGATTACTCTTAATGCCACACTACTTACAGTCATATTTAAACATGGCACCAGAGAAATTGAAAGAATTGAGAAAGGAAGCTGGCAAAATTAGCAATATTGACTTACAAAAAATGGTACGCAATTCACTTAATTTCTTTCACCCTTTGCTTACGGATCTTAGCATGGTGAAACCTGTCATTAAGGTTCACTTGTTGTACCACCCGTAAGCAAAAGGTTTAGTATAATAGTATATTAAAATATTTATTTATGGAAGTTTATAAAAATCTACGTTTTAAAGATATTATATAAGGAATTGCTTCTTCACGGATTATTCTATTTTTGAATATTATCTTTAGGTTATTTCATTAAAAAACTATATCACTATCAAAGATGACTTTAGAACATTTCAGTAGATGAAAGGAGAGAGGCAAACTATGCTTTAAATGATTTATGCAGGTTTAGTTTTTAATAACAAACACACACACTTAATCACTTAAAACTATTAAAATATTTTCTATGTTTTTCTTGCTGCTTCATTATGTTATGCTGTCGGCATCTCTAACTTTAAAAATGTCTTTATTTGGTCTGAAATCAGTTCTTCGAATTAAGAGATTTCTCACTTCAAAATCATTTTGGTGCATAACTGACAAATAATGGAGAAAGATTGCATGAACTCATTTAAAATGACAATGAATGAATTTTAAGTATTTGAACTCATTATATTATATTTTAAACTCCATACAATGCTTTTCAGAGATGATAGTACATATGGTTTTAAATTGAAACTTTGCCTGCAGTTTAAAGCACTCAAGTGTGACTTTTTTTATTTTCCTCTGTGAAAGGACTTAAAACATCCATAAGGAAAAAAAAAAGGTTTTCTTTTTTAGTGTATTTTTAAAAAATAAAAAATCTTTACGCAGCATAAGCAATTGGATAACTGAGCAATGTTTGTTAGTTAAATGCATGTAATACAAAAATTATAAATACTTTTGTATTAATAAAAACTCTTTTTGTTTTCATAAAATGTCTTTGGTAAAGAATAGGTGTAGAGATATTCTATTTTGGAACTTCAAGGCTGAAAACATTCCAATGAATAATAATTAGATTTATATTTCAAAGGAGTTATTTTTAGAATCTTTCCCTCCCATATTAGGAAGCATTAAATGATTTTCCTTTATGCGCAGGGTTACAAGGTATGCGACGATTGAGCCTTTTCACTCATTTTCTGTTAGTACTTAATGCAGGAGCGATTGTTTTGGCGTGTTTCTTGCTGTGTGATGTATTCCATGTAAGATCTGCCGGAACCATCCGGAGTTTTGTCCACCCCCTCCCTTGTGGAGAGTGGATGTAAATAAAACTAATGAAAGAATAATTGGTTCACGACATAATTAATTAAGCTAATTGTAACCAATGATTACAGGGATGTAGCTCTGCTATTACATGCATATATATTTAGTTAAATGCATATTTTTTTTGTGGAGATAAGAAAACAATATATTAATATGTTCAATGTAGAGAGAGGATAGTATCAACTAATTTTTATCCCTCATTAATTCCAGGTTGCAAGAGTTTTTTACTACTTGTGTGTTGTTACCCTCCAATACTTAACACCATTAATGTTGTGTTTATTTATGACTCTCATGCTGAAAACTTTAGGTAAAAATATTGATTAATTATTTTGTGCTAATTTATTGAAATTCCATCATTCTATTATGTATATTTATTTTTGATGATTGTAGGTGATTATCGATGGGGAAGTTTTATTGAGGCAAATACTCCAAATGAATCTGTCAATACAGCTGCAAAAATTGCTTTACCTGTTGCAGACGATATCTTGGAATCTAGTCAGCAAATTTCATTGACACTTCTGAGTCTAAAGAAGGTTTTTACTCCTGTTTTGTATCGTGGAATCTTAGGCTTCATGACGTGGTGGCTGTGTACTGTTTGGTTTGGAACTAGTGCAATGGGTTTGATTTATTATTCATATTGCACCTGATCTATGTTTGTTAATGGATTTAGTAATACGCCAAAACCATTATAGGTGAATTTAAATTCATCATACTCATTGTTTTTCTATGTGTGGTTTTATAATTTCCTATGACCTTGAACAACCCCAATTGTTTATTAAAAAATGCATGACTTTTTAATCTTATAAAATTATTGAATTCACCTAATGTGCCGGAATGAGAAATTAGATTTTTTTTTTAATACTTTAACTAGAATTTTTTATATCTTTACTATACATACATATTTATAACACACATAGCTGTTCATTGTACCCAGTGGTTAAAAATTTGGGTTTAATTGTTGATATTTTCTCTAATAAAATCAATAACCATCAAGGCATATGATTAATTCAAACTTATATATATTAATGCTCTTTAAAAAATACAATAGCTGGCAGCTACGCACATGTATTGTTTGCAATTTTTACATATTGAGTTGCCTGTACATTGGTTAGGAACCACAAAAAAGGGCAACTTGTAGTACACTTTTAAAAATTCCTGAGTAATCTATACATGTTAAGTCAACAAAATGAAAAAGTAATTGCCCTTGGCTGTTTTTTTATTTTTGGAAACTCTTTTACCTAGAGAAATGAAAAAACCACAGTTTACGTGCTTAAATTTAAAAAAAACTTATCTGCATAATTTTATACTATATGAACAATTCATTGAGCATTAAAATGTTTTTAAAAATATTGCCAATTTCAATAGGTTTTTCCACCTAGATAAAAATCATTGAAATTAATGAATTTTCCCAATTTTCAAGAATGTAGGGTTGGAGTAACTTTAATATCAAGCACTTTTCACTTTTAGAAAACTGTGGCTTTTTTTCATTTTGCACCTTTTTTAAAGTCAGTATAACTGAACAGTCAGCAGTAATTGTAGCAAATTTTCGATATTTATATATATATAAAAAAAAGCATATTCGCTAAAATGATTTTTCACATACTGCTCTTTATTTCATACGAGAGTGGAGTTCAATAATATGAACAGATCGAATCATCAAATTAATTACTCAACACTACAAAATATAATCATTAAGGTTCAAAGGACAATATAGACTAAAGTTCTTAATAGTTAAGTCACAAGAGTAGTTAAAAGATTGATACCTTTAATGCTATTGTTACAATTAGTCTTTTACACCATACCTGGAAAACTACTTGTGCTGGCATAGCTTTTAAACCCAGATTTCCTTTAGTTTTTAGTATGTATTTCAAATATTTTATAGTTCATTTCTTCATAATGTAATAATTTCTCAATCTTTTTCATTTTTAAATAATTTTTTAAGTTTGACGTTCTCTTTAAGACGTTAAGTTTGATCTCTTTTTTTTTTACCAATTTTTTTGAAACACATCAGGCAATAAAAATAAACACTAATTTTGAGGATTTTAGAAAATCTATGGTTTATTACTCATTTCAAGGTATGCTGCATTTAAATTATTCACTTGTGAACTTGCATCTAATTTATATCATAAGTTTTATACAGATTTGTGCAATGCTGTAAATAAAATTATTATTCCTAATAAATTATTTATATTATACTTGGTACACTTATTTTTTGTATGACTTAATCTCTCATTTACAATTTCCCTAATATCAGTTAAGGCCCTTATGTGGTCTATTGGTTCAACAGCATCAGAGTCAAAATAAAAGAACTAAACCTCACATTAGCTGTTAAACTATTCATAACAGGTAAATCTACAACAATTGCAAAATTAACCTAAAAAGTATATTAGAAAGTTTTAGTGATATTTAGAGAGCTTACTGAACAGTGGCATGAAGTAGTTAGCAAAACATATTTCTTTCCCAATTAAGGGTATGACTAGCGAAATTTCATACATACAGCTGCAGCATATTTTTAGGCTCAAAATCATTCTTAAAATAAAAAAATCTGAAAAAACATTTTAAGGCTAAGAAAATAATAACAAACAGTGGTATACTCCTATCCAAATTAACTTATATGCACATGATTTTATCAGAATTTAACATTATATTTAAAGATGATTAGCCTTTTAAAGTTTTTCCTAAAAATAAATTTGTACATGCAATATCAGAAGTTAAAATGAATAATGAAGGAATTCACAAGTACATGGCATAAAAGACAACAAAAATGAGTCCCCACTGTAATGAATATGAGCTATACTTATGCAGAGCTTAACATGTTGGCTAAAGCATTTTGTGGTAATAAAACAAAAGCTTGATTTTTTCCCGTTATTAATATTGTAAATTCAAAGTGTTGATAAACGGTATTTGAACGGCAGATATCTCCCAACTGAACTAATAGAAACTAAAATAAGATACAACAGGATAAGATTCATTTAGAGTATGCATATAAAAATGTAATTTTAAAAAACAGTACAGATTAAAAATAATAAAACAATTTAGAGCTTTATTGATAAACCAAGTTTAAAAGATATAAACTTATATTCACACTTTACATTATTTAGTTTCTAGCCATTATTTTTGGGCTATTTTAGACTGTGGACTTATACTCTCCAGTGAGTAAATTGATGAGACAGAAAACATAATCGAGTCATATTTCATAATATATAACAAATTTCACATCTTCACTGGGATAGATTAGTAGTAAAAATAAATATATCGAATAAATACATAATTACTTATAAACATTTAGTAAAGTGTTTTGTTTCAACACCAAGATAAAACGGAATAAAATGCATTCAAGCTTCACAGCATGCAAAAGAAAAAATTAGGGCACGTTTTAAAAAAAATCAGGGCAGTATCAGAACATTTTTTTTTTGTTACAGTATACATATATGCTATTCATAAAAAGTATAATTTGCCCTACTTAAATACAAAAGCAAGTTTTACCACAAGAAAATAATAAAAACAACTACTTTTAAATTCCCAATTATTTTACTTAGAAAAGGAAATTTTTTAGTATAATATTATCAATACTGAATAACTCAAGGTTGTGTAGCCAAATTATTTAACAAAAAATAAGCAATTGTCAAGCACTCAAAAAATATTTTTAAGCACTTTAAAAAGAAATATTATAATTAGGCATGGTTGGAAAGTTTTTGACAATTAACGGTTTTATCTTGTTTTAACCGTCATGTCAAAAAAAAACTTTTGGAATTGTCTTTAACAATTGAAAAAAATCATGAAATTTTGAATCATATAAAACGAATGGCGTTTTCATACGCTCCGGGCTGACAATACGGCGAAATAAATTGGGGTTGAATTAATTGTGAAAACGTCGATGAAACGTGTCAATGTGAACTGCGTCTTTTTGCTTAATTCGAAGTGAAAATAAACATAGTAAAAGAAAAATCTCATTTTGAAAAAGGGGAAATTAAGCACTTATTAAAAGCACCTTTAAGGGCTTTTAAGAACGAAAATAAGTACCTTAAAGCACTTTGTAAAAACTCTACACACCCTGATAGAGTTCAGTTCTTTAATTTTAAAGTAAGAGTTCAATAATCTTGAGCGGAAACACAATAAACATGCCACTTAACATTCTTGTACAAATGATCCCTTAAATAACCATTTAAAAATTTGATAATGTAAACTTGTTAATTTTTTGTTCTCATTAAATGACTTAACTTTCAAAAAGTTTGAAACAAAGAAGCTATATGCCTGAACTATGTAATACTTGTAATTAGTGAATGGCCGTAATTTTGAACTGTCAAATATTTGTAATTTTTTAGTAGCATTTTTAATTGTAATGAAAAAGATGCTAGGTAGTAAATTTAAATCTTTCGATTCTTCAATACCCAAATTTGTATTTGTAGAAAAACGGGATGTTCTGAATATATGGAGGAAGGAAGAAAAAAGCTCAAGGTCAGAACAGATTATTTTTCATAAGAAGTATAAGGACAACTATGAACCATGAAGCATTATTTTAAAAGTAAGAAGTAGTTAAATAAAAATACACAATTAAAAGTAACAAACAGAACCTTTACAAAACAAAACTTAGCTGGTCGATTATGAAAAGCTGCAATATGAGTAGTTCAGTTATATTGTATAAATAGTAAACCGTTAAACCCTGATACCCCTTCCATTACACTTAATTGAATCCAATTACTGTTTCAGCAATAAATACAAAATCTGGCTGCAAAAAATAAAAAAAAAGGAAATTAAAACATTCTTTTTTATGATATTGCATTTTCTTTTATAACTGAATGAACAATGAAGTGCAAATTTATCAGTTAACTCTAATTTGAGTCTCTATTTAGGCTACTTTTAGTCGTTATATAATATTTCTTCACTTAATAATAAATTTTTTTGAAAAAAGACTATTAAAAGTAACGTAAGGAACTGATCTTGATTTTCCAACTTCTGGCGTCAAGGGAATAGAATAATCAGGGTTCTATGAGAATTGAAGCAATATAGCAGGTCTAGGTATTGCATTTTTGTTTTAAATAAAGTTCTTTGGACAAAATTTCCAACTTACGACACTTTAAGTTGGAAAAATTTACATCAAATATACACGCACTTATTTACAAAATATACAAAATCTAGTATATTAAATAATAAACTATCCATTAGCATTGTTGCCAAGAAAGCTCTCAATCCACCTACAGATATTTTCAATGTTGGATTCCATATCATCAGGGGTATTGCTGTTCAGTTTGAAAACGATAGTAGGATCGTATGCTTCTTTAGCCTCATCCACGAGGGTTTGGAAAATTTCACATTGAATATTATTTTCCAATTTCTTACCAGAATATCCCCTACAAATACAAAAAAAAAGTAAGATTGGTAGAATAAAAATAATAATCATGAAAATTAAGCCACACACGATATTAATACAAACCTTCTAACAAGCCGATCATAAAGTATAGTATTATCTGTAGTTAGAACAAACACTATGTCAAACCAATCTTCAGGGAAAAAGTCACAGCTATGATAGTCTACAATTTTCCCACCTTCTTTTATTTTATCTTCCAGCTCATTTATTATCTGCAAAATCAATTTTTTATCTTAAAATTATACTTTCATACAATTTTTTATGCTAAAATTGAAAGAAAAAAAAATATTGGAACTCATAACTTGCATGGATATTAAAAATGCACCAATGTTTTAGTTACTACTGTGTAATTAAAAAGGGAGAAAGGAATTTCAATTAGTCCTGTGGTTCAGTGCAATAGTCCATTCACTTTAATTGGTTTTTTGTTCTTTCAATAAACTGATTTATTGTTTAAAAACATTTACTATCAGCACCAAATTTGTTATTATATCAAAAATAAAGTAGACTTTTAACATAAAAATAATAAATAGAGATTATCAATTGCAATTTTTCTTTTATTTTAACTCTCTTAAATAGCATCTTAGAATTCAAAATTATTTTTATATTGTTAAGCAAAATCATATTTAACTAATATAAACGAATTCTTGGTTAAATTTTTATGACTGGCAATTAAAAGTAAATAATTATAAGTATTGTGCATATTTTAATTTATTTTGATTTAAAAGCTTTAAAAATAAAGTAGTAATTTTGCATTTTTAATATGTACACCATATTTCATAAATATATACAGTAGGGAACCGATTATCCGGAACGATCGGGACCATCGCTATTCCGGATAACTGATTTTTCCGGTTTTCTGAATCGCTACAAAAAGCCGTTTTTTTATTATTGTTAAACCCAACTGAAAAAAAAATTGGAAATAATCTTAATAAGAAGAAAAAACGATGAAGTAATACACCAATGATTATTTCCAAAATGATGGTAACGAGGTAAACATCTTTCAAAACAGAAAGAAAAAACCTAAAATCTTATGAGGAATTTTTTTTTTTGTAAATGGCGGGAAAATTTGTCAAATTTCGTTCCCGTTTTTTGGTCTTCCGATTTCCGGATAACTGGTTCTATACTGTATAGATATATTTTTTTCTATACTGTAAAAAAGGCTATGAGTACATTTTAGATATTATGCTTAATTCATAAAAAAAGTAAATCCTACAATCCTACAAGACTCAAATTAGCACCTATTAACTTGAGTAACTTTGAGTAGGTACTGCTTCTTGTTTTTATAAAATGTATTACAAATTTGATAAAGAACATAAAGTGTTAACGTAACAAAATTAGCTATTTCAATTGAAAATTTAGATTATAAACTATAACATTAAGGAGCTCTGTAAATTTTGCTAGCACACCAAGGCTCCAAACTAGACATTTAAAATCTATAAAAACTGGAAGAAATTCATGTACATCTATACTAACTTCTGCTACCTACTTTTTTTTTTCCAACTTTGCTACTCACTTAAAAGACATCAATTTTGGTTAAATAAGAACCTTGTTACACTTAAACATGGCAAAATGAGAAGAAAAAAATCTATTGATTACATGATATGTACCTGCAGATGACGAGTAAAATCTTTATTTTTCTTATAGAAAATGGGTTGAATTTAATAGTCTCAGACTCTCATTAACACTATTTAATGTGCTATAAAATTTTTTGATGTTATTAATCTTTTAGAAACCAAAAGTTAGATAGGAATTTAAAAAACAAAATTGCAGAATGATTAAGTTTAAATTTTATCCTAATAGACTTCAGAATTAAATTTCCAGAAAAAATTCTGATAAAATTGCCGTAATTTATGGCAACGGAATTTCTTCTAGAAAAAGAAGAAAATAAACAGTATCTTTCATTAAACCAAACTATACAGCATTTATACCATTCATCCTGAAATTGTTTTGTTTGCAAAGTAGTGGTTGACCAGAAATTCAGACATACAATAGTTATTATTACCATTTCATAAAAAATATTAAAAAGTAAATTTAATCAAGTAAATAGTTTTCATGCCATTAAGGTATCATGATAAAGTTATTAAATTTCAACACATTTACCAGATTTCATCACATATTATGAAACCATATTTTATGTTAATTTTAACCAAAATCATTTCATTACAAAAGAGTCTAGATATGGGGTTAAACTTACCATATTATAGCAGTTTTGACCATACATTTCTTTTTCTCAGTGTTAATGCAGTAAATTATTTAGGGATTTTTAACTAAATAACTTTAAATATTTATGTTACAAGCTGTTTGTCATTAAGAAATATAAATTACGCAGCAATCTAAAACTTTCCCAAATAATGATTTCATTGCAACAAAGCATTTAATTTATAATGACCATACATTTAACTTTCATGTTAGAAGCATATTTGACAATCTCATTAAGGGGACTAACTAGGAACATAAAAAATTTTCAACCCCTGGGTATATGGTTCTATAAGATTAATACATAAATGATTAAACAAGTATTTAAATTTGACCAAACCATAAAAAAAATCAGAAAAATTCAACTTTCAATAAGCTTTTTTTAAAATTATAGCTACAAAATGAGAGGTGCCAAATTGGTCCCCTCAATCAAGACCAAAAAAATGTGAATTTTCGTTATATATTAAGCATTTATAGCAAAATGCCTATTACATTTCATTAAACTTTAGAACACAAAAAAAATGTATACAATAAAAAACTCAAATGAATTTTCTTTCATTACTTATACTGATTTTATAATGCTAAGAAACATAATTGTCGCAAAAATAATCTCATCTTTTTGCTTAGCAATCTCACTTTAAATTTATTTCAGCCCAATATTTGTCAATACAAACAGCATTTAAATATTTTGCTTCAGTTTCAATTAATCAAAGTTTAGCCTTTATACTAACTCAGACTCTTATTAAATTAACTCAGAGACAATTTCAAAATTTGATAAATTGATGACTTTAAAATGTTGTAAAATATTTTAAACAAATTATGACTCACTGTACATAAAAATTATCTTTGGATTTTATCAAAAAAAAGTACCTGGTCTTCATCTAAAATATGGCATTGAAGACTTTCATCATAACCATCAAACAAATTCGAACTCTTTGCAATTTCTCCAATATTTATCCATTCTAACGATGCTATTTCACTAATTTCTGAAGACAGAGTAGATTTCCCTGTACCAGGAGTACCTAAAATAACAATATTAATCTTAGACTATAAATATATATTATCTAATAATTGTTAAAAATTAAGTTTATCTGATAATATATAAAGAATATTCCATTAATTAAATATTGTCCTCTAAATTATTTTCTAATATAACTATTGGATTAAATTATTTTGCATACAATAAAACTTACAGTTAGTAAGACATTACAAATAGAAATATAGTCAGTCATAGGACATTTACTTGTTTTGATACTTTAAACACAAAATTCTAATATAAAAAATAGGAAGAATGAAACATAAATACAAACGTAAGGTTATTTCAGCCATAAAAATCAAGATAAGTTTAATTTAAATAAAATTATTTGAAACGAATTTAAAGCACACACACTCTACGAAATTAACAGGGAATAATATTTACTACAATAAACTTCAAGGAAAGAGTTTTATCTTAAATATGGCAGAACTTAAAAACCAAAATATACAACAAAGTCGAGAATAAAAGGAATAATGAATTCCTTTTCTAGGGAGTAACAAGATTTAATGCACATAAAAATATCAGAAATCATAAAATGAAACATGTGTAGATAATTGCATCACTTTAATTTGGAATCATTTTAAAACTAACGTAAAAGATTTAAAATAAAATTAGGAGAATCATAATGATGATACTATATGCTTCCGGCAAAAGAAAAATAAACAATACATATAGAATAAATATTTATTTTAATAAGAGGTAGAAAACCACGTGGCTGATGCAATGATATGAAATTAATAAAATCAATGATAGGAGAGAAAAAAAAACAAGTAAAAACCTATAATGAAGTTTATTTATTAAAATGCCGTACCAGTAATTAAAATATTTGGTGATCTTCGCCTCATATTTGTTGATATTAATATTTATATCAACAAGGATTTTCTAAATACCGCGTAGTCGATCGTAATGCAGCTGCTTCCACTCCAGCTAAATCCAAACAAATAAAAAACGGAATGAAAATTGCCAATCCACGTGAATAATTATATGTAGGGTAAAAGCAAACGTACAACTCAATTTGCAGTACAACAATGAATGGGTGTATTTAAAAAAATATTCCTGCCTCTACCAAGGAGTCATTCTTGCTGCATATATATCACGCATGCGATTGTTGATGCATAAGTTCTTAGGGCCATTCTCACTGCCTGAAACAACTGATAAACGTGAGATTGACAATTTTTCGTGGGTCACGAATCGGATTCTCATTAGCCTCTCCGCAATATTTTCTCATCCAGTAAAAACGGTCGATAATTGGTGAATTTTTTATTATTTGAAGCTAATGACTGCTAGCAGAAGTCTCGCAGTGGACTGATCGTAAAGACACGGTTCCTGGTAGAACACCGAAGTCAAGCATCACTGACAGCTGTTTATAAGCGGGTGGTTGACTACTTTGATCAGCCTGCTTAGGAACCATGGGTGCACGGTATCAGTCCTCGTTAAACTGTTCTACCGTAAAATGCTCGACATCGCGCGCATTTAAAGCAGGGGAGTCATCCCCTTTGCAGTGGATCACAATTGTGATGGTATGTCTTCGGATCATCCTCTGGAATGTTTCCCAGATCGTCACCAATAGCCCATTGTGCAGCTCTATTGCGATGTAAATAAAATACCTATTTACTTAATTTCTAGAACTTTCATCAACAACTTCTTTTTTATGCAAGCGAAAACAGAATGGAATCCCTTATTTTTTCTTAATGGAAGGAACATCTAAAACACATCGGAAAAGTATTTGTAAATAAACAAAAAAAATATATATCTTATCTTCATATTGGAGTTATAACCTAATGCCTGCGAAGTCACTCTACCAACTTTAATGATCTATTATGAAAGGTCTATTCAAACTTTACATTCCATACTTTTTTGAATCATATTACACTGGTATAGACACAGATTTGGCCGATTTTCTTCGGAAATATTGGACCGATTTTAATGAGATTTGATATGTATATACATTGATATAATGAAAAACAAATAACCATTCAACAATTGTCATACACATCAATGAGCGTGCGTAACGCTCTTTGGAATCGGAAGGTACGAGACAGCGGATGCAGAATAAGCAAAAAAAGGGTTAATAGGGGGTATGGTCACTTCTTGCAGATATACAGGCCTTGCAGTGATATTTCATACTTGAAATAAGGCAGTTTATCAATTGGTCCCACTTGTTCAGCAACGCTGTTTTCATTCCCTGGATGGATCTCGGAGGGGGTAGCGAGTTGCAATTGCCTTCCCCGGAACGTCCTAGACATACTCTATAGGGTTGAGGTCTGGAGATCCGGCTTGCTAATCCATCCGGCGAATATCCACATTCTCTAGAAATTCGTCGACCAGAAGAGCTCTATGTGGCCCCCCGTTATCGTCCATTAAAATGAACTCATGGCCAACTGCACCCCAGAAAAAGCGAACATGGGACTCAGAGACCTCATCCTTCTACCTCACACCAATCACAGAGCCTCTTACAAAGACATGGAGAGGTGTGCTGCCATCCAACATGGTGCCTGCCCAGACCATTAAACCTGCTCAGCCATCATGGTCTATTTCGTGGACATTGGAGGGTAGGGAGCGGGTCCCTGGTTCTTTTCATATCAACATATGACGAGATCAATGCTTAGGCTGAACCGGGAATCATCAGTGAAGAGAACGGTCACCCATTAATCCATATTCCAATCTCTATGCTCTCTGCACTATGCCGCACGGATACTCCTGTTCGTAGAAGTGAGCGGGAGGCAAACAGCAGGTCTTTTTGCAAACAGTCCTCTCTCATGAAGTCTTTTGGAAACAATCACCCTTGATAGCGATCTTCTCTGGACCTCGTGGCTCTTGGACGACCTTGCCCAGGCTTTCTTTCGATGGATCCGGTATCCTCGAACTGTTTCCATAAATTACACATGACACTGGGAATTAAATTGAATTCTCTACAAATCTGGACCTGATATTGGCCTGCTTCTAGCCTCCCCCAATTCACCACCTCATTCCATCATTTATACGTTGGTGGTAAATCATTTTTACTGTTACAATTTGAATTTAACCTATTGCTGCAAAATAACACCAAGAAATTTGCCGAGGTGTGCTAGCAAACGAAATGCGTCTTAAATTACGTGCACTTATAAAGCCGGTTTCTCTACTGGCTCCGCCTACACACACGTGTACACTTACGTATTTGATATACAAGATTTGCATTTTTGTCTAGATACAGTGGTTTTACGTTCAGTTTAGTCTTTCCTTGAAATTCGATGTTTTTATTGTTATATAACTCATGAAATTTTTTGCATTGGTTAAAATTAACTACAATCACGTTATTTGTATAGCAGACAGCCTAGGGTCCCAATTTGCAAAGCATGTTTTAAAAATATTAAAGTTAAAAGTTTCGTAAAAAATACTGCGAAACTAAACAAAGATGTGCACAGCATTAACAGTACTAATATTTCCTAAAAACTACATAATTTTCATTAACAAATTACATAGTTTGAATGAAATAAGTAATTATATTTTATTTGTCCCTTATGAATTTTAACCAAAATAATAAATAGAAATTATCAATTGCAATTTTTTCTTTTATTTTTACACTCTATTAAGAAATGGAATCTTAGATTCAAAAGTTTTAATTGTTAAGTAAAATCATATTTAATTAATATAAACGAATTCTTGCTTTTTTATGACTGGCAATCAAAAGTAAATAATTAAAAGTATTGCGCATATTATAATTTATTTTGATTCGAAAACTTTTCTTTAACAATCGCTAATAAAATAGGAAAAACACTTAAATTACAAAATGTGAGACATTTTTAAGTACACTTAGGCATTTTCCGATGCAATGCAAAATAGCCAGCTAGAAAGTTTTCACCAAAAAAGTAACCCTCCTACTTGTTCATTTTCAAAATTTGAACCATATATTCGCTATCTTCACCCAAATTGCTCCTCTATAAATTATAGAAAAGCGTAATTCTGAATAGCTGCATACTTCTCCATTCCTAGGAAAGAGGAACTTTGATGTGAGGCATTGTAAAATACGAATCATTTAATAGTAATAGTGCATGAAATTTGATGCCATTCGCAACTATAGAGTTTCGAGAATTTATTAATTTACTCCACTCAAGTTCAGCCTCTGATTTGACTAACTCTATAGTTTCATGTAGAGCCCCTGAATTAGAAAGGCCGACTTATCCGCCATTTTGGAGCAAAAACTTCCACCAATGCGAAAGAGCTACTAGATCTAGAAACTTATTGCTACAAACGACGCTAACCTCAACTAGGATAATTTGTAAAGAAAAGTGTGTTTGTGTACATCGATTTACTTTGATTTTCGGATCTTTTTTTTTAATACTTGAACAAATTCATTAAAAATTTTATTATTCTTGTGTACTTGAAAGAAAAATATTATTCATTACTAGATAGAAACATACACGTTTTTGTTTCTTTAATAATTATAAAAATGGAGAAGAATCAATAAATTTATATTTAAGCTCATCTAAAACTGATCCTGGTTTTGTACAAAGTATCCATTTCAGTCTTTGTGGAGAAATTTTTAAAGGATTTGGATTAGTATCACGATTTAACTTTTTGTTACCATCTTTCCTATTTACTTTATGTTGAGATTCTAAAAAATGAACTATTAATTTTTCAACAACAGAAACTAATTATTTGAGCAATTTATCACAAGAATTTTAAATAAAAGAACAACATTTATAGATCCAAAAACGTATGAAAGATCGCATATACAGAATAACACAATAAAAGAATCACACAATACAAAATTAAAGATAATAAAACAGATAATAGGAAAAGAGAAGTTGACAAACAAACAAAAACGTGATAAGTGATCAAAATTATTTTATAACTATCAAATCATTCACAAAATGACAATATTTCACATTTCGATTATTTGCTTAAGCTTTCAATGTCCCTGAGAAGAATGTTTTCAAAGGATCCATCTTTGGCTTCATCTTCTTCACCAATTGGATCAAACCTGAAACGAGTATATTTTAATGTAACTAACATAAAAACGACAAAATAATGATAATCATTATGTAACAAAAATAAGAAGCTGTTTTTTTAAATTTTTAATAACCATTCTAATTTGTTTGGAAAAACTAGTTTTTTCACAAGTTTGGGACTTTCTAGAAGAAACGTCAAAAATTAGTAGTAAAAAAATTACTTTAATTGAAAAGACCAGTTTTTAACTGATGACATACCATCACAATTTTGATCCACTGCAGAGGGGATGACTTCTCCGTTTTGGTAGCCCGGCGACCTGCGCGTGAAATTGAGCACTTTACTGTAAAACAATATAACAAGGACCGATATGACGCACCCTCGGTCCCTACGCAGGCAGATCAAAGTGGCTACCTACCCGCTTACGGACCGCAGCCAGTGATGCTTGACATTTCCTTTCTACTTGGAACCGCGTCAAGAAGTTAGATTCAAGAAGTTAGTTAGAAGTTAGACTGGGAGAATATTCTCTACAGTAAAATTTATTAGAATATTATTGTCGTTAATAGAGTAATGAATGAAGGACTGAATGAAAGCAATAAATAGCTTCCAAAATCTGGAAGAAATAGAGACAACTTTCAGTGTGTATCCCCACACTTATGTTATGTTTACGAGGCAATATATGTGAATGACCTGTTCACACATATTGCGTCAGAAAGGTTCTAGGTTCTTCATATACATTGCGTCAGAAAGGTTCTAGGTTCGAATCCCGGACAAGACATGGATGTTCTTTTATTCTCAGTACTATCTGTCCTTACTGTGGGAGCAACGTTGGTCCATCTAATATGGTGTCCCTGAAAGAGTGGCCATCATATTTGTCCGGATACGCCTGAATTGACGAAATGACAACCCAGGTGATCATTGGAAGAAAAAAAATGTGTAAACAGGCTTGATATTCTAGGAAGTTTTATCATTGTGATTTGCGCTTAATTTTGGGCCGTGATTTTACCATTCATAAGAGTTTTCTGTAATTCATAAATTCCAAAAATCGTGAGCTGTAAATAAATTCAAAATAATGATTAACATCACATCATAAGTAAAGCGTAAGGTTTACCATATTTTGAGTGTTATCTCTTATTAGGCTATATTTATGTAAAATAACACCGTGTGTTATTTTTTGAATAGCATCATAGCATATTTGTGGAGTCTCTACCAAATTTGTTTGTTGTTTGATTCGTTAAAAATAAATATGAAAGAACGTGTTATATTGTTAACACTACAAGTATAATAATTAGGAATGGCTCACTTTTCGAGCTTAATCGAAAAATAAATCGCAAGTAGTAACCCGGAAGATTTATGACAAATTTTAACTCTTAGCGCTACTTGTGTTTAGTTTTATACAGTTATCCATCTATATAATATCCTCAAAAAACTAAATGAATGAAAATCCTAAAATTTTTATCCGAGTTTATTTCTTTTGATCTATTCTAGAATCACAATGATTATAAATAAGATTGTGATTAGTCAAATTACAAATTTACTCGCATGTTAACATATTTTATAAATAAATTTTATAACTTTTGTTTAAAAAATTATCAACACTATAATAATTTAGAGTGAACTTGTTTATTCTTACTTCTAAACCAACTTTTTGAAAAGTTTAAAGTTTTCGATCATATATTGCTAAATTTTATTTTATTATTTTTTTTAATCACTATTAACCTTAACAACATCTCAGTAGCTATATTGTGGAAAAAATATGAGGGTTTTTATCACCACTCATGAATATGAACGGGACGGTACACATATTTGCTATCCCATTTTTATAGGGGTGTTCAATTTATGGTTATCATCTTAGATTTTGTCTTAAAACAAAATCCTGAAATGCTTATTGGAGATAATGGCGACCGTGATTCAGTTCATTGATATTTTGCACTCGTCATGTTTATGTCGTATAATGTTTGGTTAACGTAAAATTTTGTCACAAGCAATCTTGTTCCCGTAAGATTCTGTACCACGATATTTTGTTCGCGCCGGCGATATTTAACTGTAAGAAATTCCGTCGCACATTTTATTCATGCGACATTCTATTCTATTCCATTTCTATGTTAATTAGTCTGCCTAATTTTATGTTTCACAGTAAAGTCGCGATCTTTTGACCTTTCATTTTTAGCTGTGATAAATATTTTGTTTCATTGGCATTATGTTGGCAAGAAAAGTAAATTACAAAAAAAGAAAGAAAAAAAAAGAAGAAGAAGAAAAAAAAAGAAAAAGAAACGAATTAGATTATTACGTTTTGACTGTTTTACGGATTCTCGTCAGAATTATTTTATCCGCATTTATCACGCCGCGGATAGTTGGAAGTTTATTTCATTGAAATCAAATTCAATTTTATTAAACTTCAACTTCAAACAAAAAAAGATACTATGTAATATGTATTTTAATCCAACGATTGCACTTATTTATCTTATAGCTTTACCTTTTTCATAGAATTATATTGAAAGACTATGGGGTATTCTGTAATCCCCACCTTTGAAAAATAGTTTTAGATTCCTTGTCAAAATGAATCCAAAACTAAGACACATTAGAGGTCGCACATTAATATTTAAGCAGCGAAAAAGCAAAAAAATCTGACAAATATCAATTAAAGAAAACGGGATTTAAAAAAAAATTCAAACTAGTTTGAATACCGCAAGAAGTTAAAAGGTGTTTTTGATAAACACATTCCCCTTTTTCTACATATCCTCCGGCATTGAAACAGGTTTTAATAAATTGTTTCTATTTTGATCTTATTTGAATCTTATTCGTTTCTTATTTTGTGTTAGTCAAATTTTAATGTAATAATTTTCGTCCTCTATTGTGCAAACTTATGGAATTTCATATTTGTTAAGGATTTCAAAAATATATAGAGAGAGGACGAGGATTACGGAACACCATGTAAGAAATTTCCGTGACGCATTTATTTATTTACCTTGTAAGATTCAGATTTTCGTAAACAGGCAATTCAGATGCTCTCACGGTTTGGCCTTTGATTAGACGTTCCTTATCTCTTGGAGTTGGCATGGGTCTTCTTTGAGAAGCTCTTTGAAATCGAGATGACATGGTACGTTTACGCAAAGCATACACTTCCTGTAAAAAGTAAGTGTTTCTCAATATGTGATATTTAGTTTAACAAATAACTAATTAACTAAGCAAAAATAAATAAAGTTCCCTTAACAAATTTCGGTTTATCACTGGACAGTTTCCCCCGCTAAGTTATAATCAAACAGCGATGTCACAGTGTTTAAGGCACAGAGAGCTCTTATTATAATGAAGCGCCCCCTCCCCCGCCACACAGCTTCTGATCGAGAGGTACATGCTAGTCTGGGAAGTAAAATAGGCTCATACGCAATGATGACCTTATGTGCTTTCCACACATTCAACTAGTTTACACTTTCACAATTATTTATAAGAGATACTATTATATGTAAAGTATATGAGCCAGAGCTGTTTGGGTAATCTGTGTCACGGTTAGTTCGTAGTTAGTTTAAGAACCACACACATGTCAAAACGCATAACATATGGTACGTGGAAGTGATGATTTTCATTATTTACCCTAGTTCATAAGGTCACATTTAGATAAGGTGTCCTGATTTACAAAACATGATTTGTGGACAAATCAGCAGACGTCCTAGAAAAATTTTACGATTTGAAGACACCTATATATTTATGTCAATATTATTCAATATTAATTTAGTTCAATATTAATTTATATGGGCACAATAAAGATTTTATTTTTATTTTCTGTTTGTATATTTTGTAGGATAAAGATATTTTGTTAAAAAGAAGAAAAAAAAGGAAAAAAACGTGAGCATTTATGATTTTTATATATATATATATATATATATATAATAAGGTATTNGTCTCGTGGTATATATATATACATATATATATATTTGGGAATAATGGAATCGTGGGTGAAGTTGTGATGAGGAAGTGCTGTATTTCTAATGCGTTTCTGAAGTATTTACCTGTGAAGGTCTTCTGCTGACGGTGCCATAATCAGGAGAAGGACCTGCTTTTATTTCAGGAGGAATGAGGCCTAATTCAACTGGATCTAAAGAAATAAGTATGATTCATGGAAAATAGTAGTTACTTGCATTTGAATGCCATGAGGGCTGGTTTTCGTATCTTTAAAACTACAATAAAAGCTTTTATAATTAAGTTTATTTACCAACAGGGAATAAATTACCAACGTAAAAGTCTTCATAATCTTGGAGAATATCTGTTCCAAAAAATTCTGATAGTTCTTCTGGATAACGCAGATCCATAAAAATTATTATGATTGTCAGAAGCTCACACAAGATGCCTAAAATAATAATAAAATTAAAACTCTTTTTGAATTATTCATACGTTTAAATATCGCGTGTTCCAAAATTAAAATCTACGACTTAAAAAAATCAATTAAAAAAAAACGGGTGGAAATAGAAATATATGCGGTTTGCTTCATCTCTAATAAGGAATAACACTTGTCTCAAAATGTTTCCACATTGATAACAAAATTCTTCAAAGAGCTGCTACTTAAGTAAAATTATAAAGCAATGTTTCCAAAATAACCAATATTTACTTTAACCTGATATAGTCTGTGGATAAAGTTTACAGATGCATGTGCAAATATTTTACTTGGAATGGTCTGACATGCAGTAGAAAACTTTGTCTTATAATTTTTTTTTCCTCTCAGCAGCACTCTGTTGATGAACTTGGTGAGAATAAATTATCCGGATTTTTAAGTAGAATGTAGTAAACTGTGTATTTCTGCCTCGTTCCGTACTTCTCTTTTTTCTTCTTTTTAAAATAAATAAATAAATAAATAAATAAATAAAAAACTTCATTTTTTTAAATTATTGATTTCTTTTTAAACACCCAGTACTTCAACTTTAGAAAATAACTACTTTTACTTTAAAATATTCAAACAGTATGTGGACTAATACAGAAAGTTAAAATTAATACATGGTGATTATAAAATACACATGATGCCTTAAATCTACACCAGACTCCCTGTCGAGCACACCGTGTAAGAGAATGGAATAATATTTGATACAAAGGCATTAGAAGGTGGTAGGCACTCTGTAGTGTTATAAACGATAATAAACGGCGATCAAGTTCTCATAGTCTCGATAGTTCGAAACCAAAACTTTTTCCCGCTAAAACGAGATCCTCATAGTAAGGAACTAAAACTGCAATTGGAACAATATTTTTAACACTAATACCGGCAGCGTTAAGCTGCGATGAAGAAAAGGTTATTTTTGTATATTTTCGGTGTTTCAGTATATTTATTTCTAATCTACTAAAAGCTGCCAGTCTATAACGAGAAGGAAGAAGAAAGCGCAATGATTTGTATGCCGCATCTTGCCCTGTTCGTCTCTCTGTCTAGTCGTCTAGTGTCTCTACTGTTCCGGCTAAAAATATCGTTAAAATTCTTATTTCAGATTTTTTGCTCATCACGTGTTGGAGTGAAAGGCATAGCTTATACTACCTTTATACAAAATTTGATTCCATTCTATTTAATAGAATGTTCGTCACGGAATGAAATGTTTTAAAGATTATTTTAGAATACCTTCTCCAATTATAATTCTGGTCAGATTATGATGCGCTTTTGAAATCGGCCATAAAGAAAAGAACGCAAATCATCAGGTTAAACGTTAAATAACTGAAAAACTAACCTGTGAAGAGGACAAGCCAGTAGCACCACCCATAATGTAGTACAAGTGGCTTTGATTGAAAATGCAATTCGACTGGTACTGGGTTTCTGATGAAACAGAATAGAACATTTGCTAGTAACAAACAGCCTCCTGTCAAGCTGAGAAAATAGGCACCGTAACGAATGACCATGAAGAATAGAATGTTTGATAATAACCAAAGAGGAAATGCCAACCTTAGAAAAGAACAAGTAAATTAAAATGGTTTATATAATGTGATAAAATAAATAAAATCAGAAAAACACAAAAGCGTAATAGCTTTTATTAGAATTGCCAAGTAGGCAAAACCCGGCCGCCCTATAGTCAAATGTATTCTTTGACGAAAACGGCTAACAAAATATTCATTTCGATATTACTTTAAAAGTTGCCACAGTTTAAGACAAAATGGTTAAAACCATGTTTTTTTTTTACCGACTAGTCCAAAACAGTTTTTTTAATCTTATGCCAGACTAAAGCATGACAGTCATCAGTCTATGACAGGCAGATCAATACAGGTTGAAACCATAAAAAAAGCTATACTCATCTTTGTCCAAAACAGTTAAGTTGCCCATAGCTAGGTTTTGTACAGGTTTCATTTAATCAATTAAAAAAAATCGAGAAAGTCACAATTAAATAAAATACAAGTTTATTAACTTATTACAGAAAATGTGGATCAATGTTTAATCAAATACACTTAACAAAAACAAACAATTGAATTGATAAATACAGTTGGTTTTATCCTTTCCGTCTTAAACTGCTCAAGACTAGATTTACAAGGTTAAAAAATGACAACAAAAAAAAATTATAACACTTAAAAAAATAATAAATAAATATGTTAAAAAATTAAACTGTAATTTTTATTTGTGGAATTTGTTAGAAATCTATTAAAAAAGAAACAATTGCTTTTGGTGCAAAATTATGACAGTATGAAATTTAACGGAAATTGAGATATTTAGTTAGATTTAATATGTCTCATGTAATGCAAGCCTCTGTACATACGAGAACAATCACGTTTAGATTGGTTCTGTGAATTGGCTGAATTTTTATTTATTATAGTCAAAAATATTTACCTACATCAATAACTTAAAATTAAATATAGTTAGATATTCATTTTTTATGTGCCCTAAATGCATGGTGCAGCGTTAGGTTTGGTTTAGTGATACAACAAACAATTGCAGGCTTGTGTGCTCAATTAAGGTTTATAAAAATTTGTCAAAAAGAATCACATTACAGTGAAAGACAGCACGAAGATACATCAAGAGTAACAGTGGGGTTTGAACCCGCTACCTTCACACCAAGCACAGCGCTTTAGCGGGTGTTACCGCTGTGCCAGAGAATCTCCTATAGTGCATGGAGTTTTGACTTCATCGGTTAGGGTATTATTTTTGAAATAAAAAGTGGTAGTATTTGAGGAGTACAATTTTATTTTTCATATATCAGTTACTAATATTTTTATAAAATATGCATATTGGACAGTTTTTTTCTGAATACATATATCATTTAAGAGTTCATAGATTGTGATAGTCATACTCTTATCAATTCATGAGGCAATTTTGCATCCTTTTTTAATATGAAAACAGTATTGTTCTAAGATTTTAGGATAACTTCGACCCTTGACAATAATAACATTTGAATTTATCAGCATTTTCAATTATTTTCAAATTTGAAGGTTTTGAATACTTTAACATATTTTAGTATAGTGGATCACACTTTTAAGTTTCAGTTAAAGACGTCAAAATCCCAACCCAACAATTCTTGCTTTTTTTTCCTCCAACGAAATTATACAATAAATAAATTCAAATTCAAATATGAATTTTAAACTATAGATATTTATACGAGCATATTTAAACTATATACTATTAAGTAATGCTTACCACAAGGCAATATGGCAGTACCACCCAGCGGTTCTGTAATATCGACCATGCCTAAAATTTCCTTCATCGATGGTGAAATACTCTACTGCCCATAGGATAGGATAAGGAAGGCCCTTCCATTGAGCCTTACGATATTCTTGATTCAATTTACCAGCTGTTAAAAAACAATTAACAGCGTGTGAAAACTCAATTAACATGAAGTTTCATTTTAAATAATAATTATTATTATTACTAATTATCAACCAATAGTGTAATGTTGTTGTTGTAGATTATTTACGTCGCACTAGAGTTACACAATAGGCTATTGGCGACGGTCTGGGAAACATCCCTGAGGATGATCCGAAGACATGCCATCGCAATTTTGATCAGTAATAATGGTATTGTATAAGTGATTGCGAATTGAGAGTAATGTTATTTGGTCAAAAATAATTATGTACACATTATTAAATTTTCATTATTTATGAGCACAAGGTTGAAGATGATGATACGTCATCAAACTATTTTTGTAATGAAGTGCAAAAAGTATAAAATATATATAAATATAATTTATATAAAAATATAATAATATAAAAATATAATTTATTTTTTCTTGTTAGTAATTCATGTTTCACTATAAATAATTTCTGTCAAGAAAAAAAAAACTAATACTCGATCAAGAAATTAGATATTTTTCCTTTTCTTTGTATTCAGTAAATAACTTGGTGAAAGGTACAGAGCCTGATTGGAAAAAAAATCATAGCCTTAAAAGCTAATAATTATTTTTTGAAATCTATGGATATTTAACGCTAATTTTGTATAAAATAGATACTACAAATAGTTGAGGAGATTAATCATAAATATATATATATATATATAT